CTGGCTCAGCGGTATCTCGATGCTTCTCCCATCAACCAGAGGCGTTAGAGACTACTGTTGGGCGGGAAATGTCCTGAATTTGGCTCAGTGGTCCCTTTGGGACATGAGGTTCTTTTACGTGCCGTAAAGCTACGACACGGGACTCACGGCTTAAAGTCCCTCCCGGAGGACTTGTTCCCTGAATTTTTCCGCCCTTAAAAATTCCACGACCTCCGCCGGGTTTGAACCCGCGTACTTTGAGTCACGAGGTGTATAGACACTATACTACAGGATGGACGATCTTGGAATCGGTGTTCGTTCCCGGCAGAAGCTGTGATTTTCTTTTCCAAAGCGTCTAAACAGGCTCCGGGTCCCGTCCAGCACCCTCCCCAAAGGGCAGCGGGGGTTCTTTCCCTGCTGTTAAAGCGACCAGGTCGTGAAGCTGACCACCCACTGCCGTCTATAGAATACACGGAGCTATACCTCCACATCGCAATAATTATTTATTTCCTCGTACTTAATTAAGCCCAGGGTGTCGTGACCCAAGATGGTAGCTGGTCGACTGAATTATGTTGGCCGAGCGGTAGCATAATAATTCAGTGATGGTGATGGTCAGTTGGCTGCTTGAGCGTGTAGTCCAACCACAAAGAGCAATTACTCACTACAGAGTATAGAGGATTTTTTGAATCTTTGTGTATATTACATACAAGCGCTGGTGGACGTAAGCCTGGCCAGCCTTCTCATAGCCCCAACCCAGACAAAATGCCCCTTTCAAGTTCCCTCTTCTTCTTAGAACCTAATCTAAAACTAAACTTGCAGCCCAATGTCTCGAGACATGAACCCTCACGCAGATCAGATTACACCAGCTGTTGGTGAAGGATAGGTCCCAGACGAAAACACTCCAGGACTCCACTAATTTATGGAATGGCAGGGGTAGATATAACATTTTTTCTTTGAGGAAGCAGGTCAACCTCTTGGCGTGCTGTAAATTTAGTAGAGGGCATGACCCCAGACATCAGACTCAAGTTCCTAAACTAAAAGGGGTTGCGAACCTCGCAACAAGGGACGTCCTTGCCTTCGCCTTGTCTGTCCTACTGGTATATAAAAATCAATATTTTAGACATCAACTGACCGATTTTCATGAAACGCGGTATATATGGCATGTAATTGACAATCCTCCTCTTGGTATATGTTAAATTCATCACCATGGATAAAATTATGTGAAATTGTTAGGACGAAGGACCCCTGTGGCGCCATTCAGTGAACTTCCCCATTGTCTTGTATGGTGGAGAATATTTCAGTGAACTTAATCAACTTTTTGTTAACAGAGTCTTTCTTCATGAACTGATAGTCGCTCATCTGTCGAAATTTCCTATCATTCATGGAACTCGAAAGTTCATTAACATGCTGAGTATATGCTTATACGCAAATTTGATTTGTCTGTTCTTTAAATGTCAAACAGTAACATCATGGTGACCTGCGGTCACACCGTTTCCGTGACGACAACAGACGTATCATTGTTAATTGCCATTTTAAGTTTGGATGAAGGAAAGATATGTCTTTCCGTGTCGTCCCCGAGCTCGTTCAAGTGACCCTGAGGCTCGAGGCGACTACAACAATGACGTCGTTGCTAGACAACTGCGTCGCAGAGTCCAGTATAATGGAGGGGGCCTAATGTTGAGACCCGTTCCTTGTTACGGATCTGGTTGAATGGCCACTTAATCACTTACTGTTCATTACCACTACATACAGCATGTCCTGTACTGCACGCACGGCTCCGAATACCCCAAATGTGGCTAGCAGACATGATTTTCTTCAGCCTCTCCACGCAGAGGTTAAAGCTTTTCCTCCTGCTGTTATTCTTTGTATAGAACATTTGCTTATGTTAGCGATTTCACATACCGACAACGAGAATAAATCAAGTGCTAGAATGGAAGTTCTTGGACGAAACGCTACTGATCAAACTCTCCAAATCCAACATCTGGAAACCTAGCATTTCAGAGCAAATCGAACCTGTGGAGTGAAATGAGGCGAAAACTACATTGAACTGTCACAACTGACTTCAACTCAGCATGCCATAGCACGCACTATCCTAAATGCTGACCGGAAGTCGCTGATTAAATATGGCTGGCTGGGAACAAACGCACAACTCGAATACCACTGCGCAACCATTAACGCGCATTAACAATCACTGCAACACTAGCGCTGGGTGGAGAAGATGAGAATAAAACGGGAAGCGTTCTTACATATTCCAATACAAATGTCATGATCACGTCTCTATTTTGCCGATATATTAGACAGTAAAACCGCAGAATTATTTACTGATTATCCTGTATACAGCAGGAAGGGAGACCGGGAATAGTTCCCGCAGCGAACCAAGCGGAGTAAGGGGAACAGTGTAAAGAACACTGGGCCTTAAGAGAGCAGAAAATCACTGTAAATCTTGAGGTAACTAGAATCAGTTTGAAGTGACAGAGCTATGAAGGCCGTTAAATCTGGGTGTGGTCAATGACCTGAATATTCAGCAAATGGACGGATGTACACTCGGTAGTTCTCAGGGGAATTGAGTCTGACAACATAATAAAGATGACATTGCAAAGGTTAAGCGTTCACCATTAAGAAAATTAATTTATCTGCCCCCTTCTGTAGCTGTCAGAGCAGTCAGCCCAGCTGACAGTGAATTATACAGTAGTTCCAACAGAACTATTATACGTTTATAGAGTAATATAACTACAAGGGACATTACTATAGAGTATAAATTCATCCTTCATTTCAAACAGCTTTACTTTTGAAAGTAGTATTAGTTATACATAAAAAATACTGCATTTCTTTATGTTCCTACATAATTAATATCGTGTTATAAATTTGTTAATCCTTTTGAGTCTGAATTTTATGTAAATACTTAAAAATTCAACTCCAACCTCACAAGAAATGCTACGTATCTCTATCACAAAGACAAATATGTTGCTACTGTACACGGAATAATATGAAACACAATTTGGGCGAGATGTAGGGCTGCATTTAATGTTAAAGTAGATCATACACGTATATCAACATTCCCAAAGGAACTCGCTCTATCCATCTCCTTCTAGTCTGAAGATGGAGGCCGGGGGATACTCAGGAACGTTCTCCCTACATACCAGACTTGAACGTGTCATAATCCAGACAGCAACAGCCTTCTTGTTCATTGCTTTCCAATGTGAACGCCACAATAACGTTTTTCTTAACCGAATAGAAAGAAGTATTGTCTGAGTTCATCATATACTTTTCACCTGTTTGCTATCTGAACTATGGAATAATTTCAGACTGGCAGTACCTAGGCTAAGAGCTAATCGATTTCCCGTAGGAGCAGAGATAACACGTTATTTCCCTCCGTTTCCAGACCACTTCCGGGACCCTACCTAGCGCTACCGTCTCTCCTTTCCAGTGGCTGTTGAGGATTTATTACACACGGAGAAACAGCCCGACACTCACCTCCATCTACGGTCGAGGTTCAAAATTAAACCTGTTCTTTCTCTTACGTCATAATGGCGTTGAGTATAATTAAGCACGGGGACAATTTTACTTTAGCTTTATTACAAGTATTACTACTTAACTGCCGATCACAGTGGCCGCGCGGTCTAAGACATAACTGTCTTCGCCCGCTCGAACACTAGGGTCGTGTGTTCGAATCGCACTCGAGGCATGGATGTCTGTGTACGTTTAATCTATGTTTGTGCTGTTCTGTGTGCAGGTAGCGGCCTTGAGACGGGCTGATCCTCCGTCCAAGGAGTCCTATCGTCTGTGTAAGATTAAGAAACTGAAAAAGCGGCCACGGCCCAACAAAAGGTTGTAGACACATTGATGAATGAATGAATTACTACTCAACTACGAGAAGGGAATATTATCCCAGGGGGATCAGCCCGCCGCAAAGGCCACTATATACATACAAGACAGACAAACAGAATTATCGCACACATATATACCTGTTTCGAGTGGGATTCGAATCCACGGTCCAAGTGTTCGACGCATACCTCTGCTACCAACATACTACATGCTGATCTTATATGGCACGACAGACCTATTAGGGGCGAGGCCTTCCACTTTCACTGTTTCGGAGACTTATTTACAAACACATGATATGGCTCCTTGGATGGGGGATCGGCCAGTCGCAAGGTCTCTATACCTACACCGGACAGGGCTCTGCTGAAGTTCAGGCACCAGTTCCCGGTCTTCAACTGTCGATTTTTGGGGAACCTCCCAAATACGCGTCAGAAATCATTGGAGCCCCAGACTCTTTCGATATCTGCCGTCATCTTTTTTATTTTTCGGGTTGTTTTACGACGCTGTCAGTAGCTGGATGAGAGATGAATTGGAAAGGATAAGGAAGGGAGCGGTGGTGGCGTGACAGACACTATCCCATCCTTTGCTTGAAGAAATTTAAGGAAACTAGTACAGCCTGTACTCCTGCTGAGATTCGAACCGAGAACCTGCCGAACACAATTCTACGAGCTACGCTAACTCGTTCCTTGCCTCCGTCTTTAATACCCTGAAGAAATAATTTCCTCTGATGCATTCGTGATGACCCCCAAAGGAATCTGCACCTTGTCGTGGTGGTGGGGCTTACGTGACCTGGAGAGCTATGCCGGCGGTAGTTTAATTACCGGTAGAGTCACCTATGTCGGAAAAGTCAAAGGGTAGAGTCCAGACTAAGAGAGATACCCTGGTCCTCCAGGTTGGGGGGTTGGGCATGAGGCTGAGAATCTCGTCCTGTAAAAAGAATTTTGTTGGGAAACCTCGGGTCATCCATGTTGGTTGTGGAGACTGGTTGTAGAGGAAGCCAAGGCTCACCCAGGGCTGTAGCGTATGTAGGTACATTCGTAGTGATGTACGAGACTACACGGTGTAAAATTCCCGAAAGAACAGGCTTGCAAACAGTTGCTGGCTGAGTGATGGTGCCTGAATTACTGGGCATTCTGTATGTGCTCCGGTTTGTCTGGTTGCGGGGTGCATCTCATGACAAGTAAGTAGTCCGTGAGCAGTGCCTTGCGCTGCTGCGACCCTAGCGATGTTCTCTCCACATCAGTGATCAGTGCCGTTAGAAGATCGACAAGATCTCCGTGTGTTAATGCGTGTCGCGCGTCCGCCTAAGTTGACGGGCGCTTCTCAATATGAAAGTCGCGTGTTTGTGTGTGTTTGTTCTGGTTCTGGCGGTACAGGCTACGTCAGCGTCGTCCAACAGGTAAATTATCGTGTGACATGAAGATATCCGGCGGAGACTCGTAGATTTTTACCAGACTACACGGCGTTACATCATAGAATATACTAATCTTAAGCAAAAGGGCATTTAAACGGTATACACGAAGCATAACACTTCAGTTTATTGCTCAAAATTGTCAGTGAAATGTGACGTGTGGTCTCAATTTATACCACTTTTGTGGGTTCTAATTGCAGAAACTGCGTACACGTGAAAATTATACAAATAAACTAAGCTATGTATTTCTATTCTAATAATTATAACACGCCGAGGTTAAACGCAGGACACAAAAAAAAAGTTTGAAGGTGTTTGAAAACAGGGCACTGTGGAGAATATGTGGACCTAAGAGATGAAGTGACAGGAGGTTGGAGGAGACTGCATAATGAGGAGCTTCATAACTTGTACTCTTCTCCAAGTATAATTAGAATGATCAAATGGAGAATGAGATGAGCAGGGCACGTAGCACGAATGGGGCTAAGAGGAATGCATATAGGGGTTTGGTGGTAGAGCCCGAAGGAAAGAAACCACTAGGAAGACATAGACGTAGGTCAGAGGATAATAATAAAATGGATCTTAAAGAGATAGAATGGGGTGGTATGGACAGGATTGATTTGACTCAGGATAGGAATCATTGGAGGGCTTTTGTGAACGTGGTAATGAACCTTAGGGTCCCATGAAATGTTGGGAAATTCTCATGTAACTGAGCGACTGACGGCTTCACAAGAAAGGCTCAGCTCCAAGGAGATAGACAAAAAAAATGTTTTTATTTTTTCTTAAGCTATCATGAATTGTGCCCTTTGGCATTTCTGGGTTCCGAAGTAATTCCGACAGGGTAAGCTCTGTCACAGGCCACGCCTCTCGTTTGTATTCGACACGTGACTGCTTAGAATCGCAGCTCCGGATACAGACGACACTGCTTGAGATTAATCATGGTCCTCCTCCGTCCCTCCGTGGCAGATGCCGGGATTATACCTCACACTTGTGTCCTTTATTTTCATTTATCGGCGAATTATCAACTGCTTAACTTGTTAGAAACAGTAATATATGTAAAAATCATGAAAGATGACACATATGGAATGGGGCACTCGTGGTGTGCTTTGAGGGGCCATACCGGTTTTCTTGTGTGGAGAGACTGAAGAAAATCCCAGAAAACCTCGCAATTGCCAACTCAATCTATTTGCGTTTAACGAAAAATTTCCCAAATATATATTTACTAGTTTGTTTTTGTCTCTTCCATAGAACCCACGCTTATGTCCCACAAATCTTCCTCCTGTCCTGCTCGTGGTAACTACATGTACCACCCACACCAGCATTAATAAGACTCTTACATTTTTTTTACACAGCGTGTTAATATGCCCCGTATGTTCTCATGGTAAGCAGCAATTATCTCCCCAAATAGCATTAGCCGGCTGGTTTTTGCAGCGGTGACGTAATGTTTCCTGTGAGGTACGAAATGTTTTTTTATATTGTTCAGAAGAATTTCGTGCTTCACAGGGTTAATGGCATTTATTTAAGAAGTGTAGAAGTGGAGTATTACACGGTGAGACATTCGTAGAATCCTTCTCGGTGCAACAGAACACACAGGAGACCAGAATTATACAATACACACACACACGATGATTTCATTTGCGTCCTTCACTTGCCTTTCTAAACGAATTGAGTGCAAATGTTTGTCTAGGCAACACGCATCACATACGTGTCAGAGAAGTTGCCAGCCACACGTGACTTTGTGAATGATAATGGTAAAATCGAAGTTAAAAGAAAGATTAATCGTTGTAACTCAGTATTCATTCATTCATTCATTCATTCATTGTTGGAGGTGGGTTTCCCCAAGCACTTAGCCCAGTTATTGGTCCACTGTGCATCCCCCTTTAATTTCTACTGTCTCCATACCCTACCGGTACTGGTGCCCGTTAATGTAAGCATTCTGCCAGCGAAAGGCATCTACCCCATCTACCGGAGGCATTGGAAACTATTTGGGCGGGAAAATTTGCCTAATTTAGCTCAGAGGTCTCCTAGAGGCATGAGGTTCTTTTACGTGCCGTAAAGCTACGACACGGGACCCACGGCTTAAAGTCCCTCCCGGAGGACTTGTTCCCTGAATTTTTTCCGCCCTTAAAAATTCCACGACCTCCGCCGGCTTTGAACCCGCGTACCTTGAGTCATGAGGTGGGAACGTTACCCCTAGACTACGGAGGCCGCTCTTGTAACTCAGTAACTGTTTATTTTAATTTATTTCGATGAAGTTCGAAATTTTCTTTGCGCCAGAAGTGACAGAGTGAGAGTGATACAACTCCAAAAATCAACTTCCGCTCTTACTAGCAGTCCGTTCCTGGAAAATAATTCATAAAGCTTAATTTCGTAATGCGCGTGGCTATTTCCGACAGGCTCAGCGTTATTTCACTGGTGGCAACGTTCCCAAACAACCAAAATACAACCAAACTAAAGATTAGAAATCAGTAATCATATTGCCTGAAATGAAAAAAAAAAATGTAAGCATCAATAACATATTATGCTGTAGCCATTTGAGCCCTTATTACGGTCTAAAATATGAAAATTCTTTTAACAGAACTTCCTCACATATCAGCCATAACTGACATGGTGTAAATCATGAAATTCTGAAACAGCAACAAAAAATAAAAACAATATAATATAAAAGATGAATGATGGGCAGAGCGTAAGGCTAAGTGGCTGGGAAATACATTACTTTCAACATTTAAGTTTCCATTCGCGCGTGTTCATTTTTGTTCGCTATGAATTTCGGATGAGCTAGTTCGCTTTCGGAAAAGGAGCTAAGGCGAGTGCAAGGTAACGGTGAATCTGTCGCTATGAAGACGTATGGGAGAGTGGTGTTATAAGCTCCAACTTTCTTGGCCTCGGCACTAGAAAGAGGGAGTGGACCGCTTCACGCCTCTGCCGCCTTAGCTCTGGGGAAATATCCCCCTTATCCATTGGACAGAAGGCTGGGTAGGCCCCAGAGTCGGTCTGGACTCGATGAAGAAAAATCTTGCACTGCATGGAATCGAACCTGGGCCGTCTAGCTCGTAGCCCGTCGCTATACCGAGTTATCTCGACTCTTGCCGAAGGTATGTGTCTCATTATTGTTCATATGAGCGAAATTTCGTAATAAGGATAGTCATAAAGCGAGGGCGTTTCCACATGCAATCTAAGTGATGTTATCCCAAAGCATTCTAAATGTAAACCACGATAAGTACCTTAAAACTAGTTTGTTTGTTTGTTTGTTTGTTTGTTTGTTTGTTTGTTTGTTTGGACGCCGCATAAGCTACAGGTATGACTAATAGCACGCACATGTTGCAGATCATGGGGTGTGGGCTGGGAAAGATACGGGAATGTGGCGACAGTCTTTCACGGCATTTGCTTACAGGTACTTGGGGCGGGGAGAGGGTTGCGTGAAATATATGAGACGTTATTCTGTGTCCTGACAGAGTCCTTTGATATCGCTCGTGGAAAGTAACTTAACCTCTGGACGCCTAGTTACCAGATGTGTGTGGTCTGATTCTCACAATAAATAATGATTGTTTCCTTAAAGAACATTAACATAGTTGTCTCTGTAATGGATATGCAGTGTTTTTTTGTGAGGGCCTGAATTTATACATAATTTTTATACTAATTTATACACTTCAGACGACTAAATTGCATACATTAACTACTTACAGACATGTGTAGCCTTGTAGACGTCTCTTAAGCAGATCCCCTGTCCGCTGTACGTCGGTGCAGCAGCTGGTACAGAGACCGGGGATTCACTGCGTCACGATACCCGTCATGTGTGTTTCCCACTGGCTCGCTGCTGTTGTGTGACTGCAATTACACAATGGGACGACAGACTTCTCGCTACACGATACTCGTGCAAATGCCATATACGTATTTACCTTTTTTTTTATGACCGCCTGCACAATGGCAATTGTCAGCACTGAATGTACAGATATGAAGTATGTGGGTAAAGCTTTTTTTTTTTCAGGAGAAACCGTTGCGTGTGATACTGTGTCACTCATCGGGACGGGGTAACGTTAACGCTCGAGACTGTTATTTGGGAGGTATTCGGTTCGAATCTCTGGCGGTACACCACCTCTGCTGACTGAGGTTTCTCGTGGTCTTTCCTCCGTCCCTTCAGGAAAATTCCGGGATAGTACCTCGAAGTATTCGGTTCGAATCTCTGCCGGGACACTTGTGATGACAGGTTTTTCGTGGTTTTTCCTCCGTCCCTCCAGGAAAATTACGGGGTAGTACCTCGATTAGATGACAACAGCTTCCTTCCAAACCCTTTACCATTCACCATCTTACCACTCAACGCTATATGATCTAAACATCAGTGTCTCTCTGCTAATGATACCTTTAAGAGACGAAGGACGCCGTATGGCCACATTTAAAGTGCAGTCGTTGTGGCCGAAGTGCGCCATATGGGACGTGCAGTCCACACGCGTGCACAATGTTTTGAAAAACTAATTTTAAGATAGAAATCTTTGTTTTACTTATATTCTTTTTCGTCATCAGCTTGATAAGTCGGTTACGTCAGGGCGCGGAGAAGGTCCGTCTTCAAGTCTGTCTACGTCCTGGTCATAATATCTGTCAGTCTCTTCCACCAGCAGCTGGATAATTCCTGCTAAGTAAAGCATGAAAACGCAGAGTGGGGAGGAATCCTTATTTACATGTGGAGCTTCATTGAGATTTATCCCCACTGCTCCACCGAAAAAATTATTCACACCCCTCCTGTCATGCTGGTGTGGTGGTCCCCAGGTTGTCGACGAAGATAATGCTTCTTCGTCGACTTCACTTTCAGAGCTTCCGTCGTGACCACTGTCAAAATCATCTGTACCGCAGTCCGAATCTGTATCACACAACTGCCTGTCAAGGACATCTTCTTCCAAACGAATTAAGACAATTGAAAGTACGTAGAGACGACTCAGGCCAGAGTGCACCATCTGAACTGCAGAAGGCTATGATGTAACGTCCCAAGAATTTACGAAGTATGCTACAACGAACCGGCAACGTCTGTAATGTGAGAATATGATTAATCAGAAACAAATATGTACGAGTACTTCCCCTCCCACTAACTGATAAGCCAGGAGCCAACATTTATACTGCTGAAACGTATTGTGCACGAGGTATAAGGAGAATTATAGGCAAACGCTCAAAGAAAAAATTTAATCAGTGTAAGAATTTTTACAGATTTTAAAATCTGCCAATTACAATATCTGATTCTGTGTTCTTTCTAGATAAAATAAACGTTAATTTCGTTCGTTTACCACAAGAATTGTATAAGTTACAGCATTTTTAGTAACATCATCACAAATTTAATCCTCCAGAGCGGCGGGCATTTAAATAAACTCCGGCCTGTTACAACTACCACAACTTAAATAGCCCGTCTCATAAAGGTTCGATGCTGCAAGTAACTCAGATTATATGTATAGTGTCGAATCATTGAATGATCGCGGATAATGAATTGCAGAGGATGTGGATAGAAGAGGGCGTTGCCTAATTTAAACAGTATAATTCGGTCTCCCGTTCGAGGTTCGATCCGGGAATCTCCCGAGTCATCATCAGTAATCTGTCAGACGACAGGTCCACAGTCTCTTTCAAAACAATTCCTCCACTTAATGGGATCTAGAGCTTTCTCCTTCAAATTACAGTATCCTCTTCTGTCCCCAAGGTCATCCAGCATCTTCTTACGTCTTCTGCCTCGAGTCAAATATGTTACCACTTGAACCAACCTGATTGGCGCCAGAAGCCAAACAGTTACGTTAAATATTAGAATCGTATGATAACGGAACTTCTAAACGCTTCACCGTAATTATTACGTAGCCAAGCAAGGCGACAGCAGTAGGCCAATCTCAGATGCACAGTACTCGACCAAGAAAGAGATCTGAGGATAGTGAAGCAGCATCTAACCCGTTATATGCTTTACATTAATTGATTCATGCAAATCTCGCGTTTAAATAACTATCTCTATGGAGCTGAGCCCTTCTTGAGAAGCCGCCAGTCGCTCACATACTCAAGAATTCCCCCAAATTTTATAAAACCCAAAGGTTCATTATGGTGTTCCCAAGAGCCCTTCACTGGTGCCTATCCTGAGCCAGATGAATCCATAGTAGCTCAACCTGTTTCTCTATGATCCATTGACCTATATCTAGGTCTTCTTAGTTGTCTCTTTCCTTCTGGATTTCCAACCAAATCCTATATGCATTTCTCTTCTCTCCACATGCTACATGTCTATTTATGATATTGTTGCTATATACCAAGAAGATTTGTTATATATGTTTATATTAAAACACTGGACCTGCATGCGGCTTAACTGGTTGACGTGTAGGAATGGCATGTAACATTGGCCATCAACTGTAATTTCCAGGGTTGGGGAGCCTCAATTTTCGTACTAACATTCACCAATATTCGTTTCACTTATTTGTCCATTTTCAAGAAATAAATGTGCTCCATATGCGCTGCGGGAAAGGGTGTAAATAGTGGATTTTCCGAGCATGAAAATTAAAATCCTTAGTTCAACAGATCTGTGCAGAATTCTGCATAATTTTCGGTTATATTGTCTGATATTTGAAGCCATTAAGACCTTCTGTACATTACATTTATAGATGCGGTGTTATAAACGGCTCAGGTTTAATCACACATCGTTTTTGAGCCGATTGTACTCCCGTATTACGTATATTGTTTGAAACAAATTTTATTCTACCGAAGCGTCCATACCATTTTTCCGTAAATGTTTCGTACCGGAAATTGTCGTGTATGACTACGAAACTTGGTCTCACATTTACCCTTTGCGGCGCCATTTAAATACCACTGAGCTACGTCATTTCAACTCATTCACGGAGCTGAGCCCTTCTTGAGAAGCCGCCAGTTGTCCAGTTACTCCAGAGCTTCCCAGCATTTTATGGAACCCGAAGGTTCATTACCTTGTTCACAAGAGCCCTCCACTGGTCCCTATCCTGAGCCACATCAATCCATTCCATACCATCCCATCCAATCTCTCTAAAATCCATTTTTATATTGTGCACCCACCTACCTCTAGGTCTTCTTAGTGGTTCTTTCCTTCTGACTTTCCCACCAAAATCCTATATGCATTCCACTTAATCCCAATTCGTGCTACATATCCTTCCCATTTGGTCTCCTGTTTATACTTGGCGAAGAGTAGAAGTTACGAAACTCTTCATTTTGCAGTTTTCTCCAAACTCCCGTCACTTTATCCCTCTTTGGTCCAAATGTATTTTCCTAAACACCCTGTTTTGAAACAATCTCAGTCTATGTTCCTCCCTTAACGTCAAAGTCAAAGTTTCACACCCATACAGAACCACAGGTAAAATTACAGTTTTGTATATTCTAATTTTTACTACTGTTATGAACTAGTTTATTTTTTCTTTACAATTTGCATGAAATGGGGGAAAAAAACTTCGCTAAGTGTAACGAAAGTATGGTCCGAAAGATCACAGTTACTGCTGTTTGAATACTGTGGAAAATATTTTTCTCTCGCTGTATTACTGTTGCTAGTGAGAAGTACAGTGAATGCTGCCATTCTGCTCTCTATCATTCGGGACAAGAATATTTTCCATCCTGAAGATGGAGGCAGAACGTTTCCTAAAAAGACTTTGGTACTTACATATCAAACTACATGATATTCATGCTCATGGCTGCGGAAACTTAAAATCTCATGTGCAGCTTTGGAAATTGTGCCTAGGAACTCAGAGAAGGGATTGATATTTGGTGAAAATAAGTTGTTGACAGTGGAAGTGTATGAATTTATAAAGTTTTGCAGAGAGAACTGCACTTTCTCTGTCCCAATCTTCTGCACACTGAATCTGCCTAAAGAATTTAAGGCACCAGAGAATTAAGTTGCACACACTCACTCTCTCAGTCAGCTTTCCTTGTGGGTGACAGACAGTGCCAAACCTACTGCTGAACAAAGCTGTTGCCCACAACCTGTCATGAATTCAATTTGACACGAAGATACCCTGAAACAAAACCGTCTTTCTGTGTACTCCAGATTGCTAAACCCAAAACATAAACTGGCTTATCAGGATTCAGTGGGTGGGAATTGACAGAGACCCATATATGGAAGAGGGTTCCATAAGATCTCTGCATCTTTCCATCCAGTCAGGGGCATAATAGAGAATGGTACAGCAGACAGCCATTTTGACACACTGTCCCAAACATGGAAGAGAGTTCCACTAGAACTCTGATTCTCTTCATTCGGTATTCTTTCATTCATTCATTCATTCATTTATTGTATATTCCATAAATCCATATACATAGATATAGAACCAGTCACATTATTAATTCTTTCAAACATACTTCTTCTGTGGCGTTAATAAACTTCAGATATTGAGTATCATATCAAGCTTTATTTTCTAATAATGAACGATAAAATTAAAATGAACGTTTTCCTCCATCAGATGTAATTCCTACAGAAACTTTCCTGTTTTGCTGTAAGTATATATATACATATCATTTGTAGTTTGGTAGTGAGACTAATATAAGCCAGTTGTTTACACCTTCATCTGTGCATTTCAGAGGTTTCGTCTTCTTGGCTCCAAAACGGTTGCTGGCCGACAGCACTGAGTCGGTGTGTTTATCTCTCCACAATGTGACGGGAACTGCACATGTCAGTGTAGATGTATTGCACCCAGACTCTGATGACAAGATTACATCTACTCAGCATAAATTCAAAAATGGTAAATCTGTATACTATTTATGGATTGGAATAAGAATACATGTACTAATATTCTATATCACTTTCTATGTCAGCAGTTCTAGCTAGTGTTCTAGTGTTTAAAAATTGTTTACCTTGGACTCAGTACAACCCAGGAAATATATCACGGATTCTGGATCATAATAGATAATAAAATACGTATAAGACAAATTAGGGAGAGACATGAGAAAGATGGGCAAGTGAACTACAAATTGAATAATACTATTTAGACTAGCAACTTTGGAATGTATTTTATAGGATTTCGACAGGAATTAGTATATTAGATTTTAAGGGTTCTGATGATGATGTATACACTCAAAATTACTTGGTTTTTGGTATTTGTCCATTGTATGGTATTCTAAAGAACTAGAGAACACCGTGTTTTGGAAACAGGATCTGTTTTCATCCTCAGGTGAGGGGGTGAGAGACACTGACACCTTTGGTTCCATTAGAAAGAGCTAACGTCAATCAGCAGTCTTACAGAGACATCCAGAATGGGCAAATTACTGTTTATAGATGTTCGGTGCTAACAGGGTCAACAGAATATCATCTCGTTGGTCCAAAGATGAGATCCTATTTGCAGTGAATTTATGAAGCTATGAAGGAAGTAGTCGCTTTCAGCATTCTGTGTGAACTGTATGATTCTACGTTATGTACAGTTTTGGTTTTCAGATTATGCATTATATTAATGTCATCCATAAAAATTTACAATGTTCTTTCCATCCCATAAGCCTTACTAAAATGTGTGGAAAGTAAAAGTGCATGATATCAAGAAGATTATTCTGGGACATGATGCTGTGTATTCTGATAGATCATTACCAGTGCTTTGGAGGAACCTGCTGCCTTCCCTCAAAGTGGAAGAGCAAAGTTAGCATGGGAAGTGGGATGTGGATACAAGAAGAGGGGAAATAAGGACAGAGGTCCTGAGTGGGGGAGAGTGAATAGGAGAAAATACAAACCACTGACAAGGGCTGATTCAAAGGACACAGTAAGGGAGGAAAATGAAGAAGCAGAAAACAGGGACAGAAGAAAGAAAGAGTGAACTAAACGAATTGGGTGAAGATAAGGGAAAAAGGAAGAAGACATTGGTAAGGACAGTGTTGATGACCTGAAAAAGGAATTGTTAGTCTTGCTAATGGCCTGCTTTTGGAATTAAGAGGAACTGAGTAAGGAAACAGTGGCCCCTTTTATGGTGCTTCCCTCTCCCAACATTAATATCAGTCTTTGCATTGCTCAGCTTACTCAGCTACCCTGTAGATGGAGGCAGAAGATTCTTCCAAAATGTTGTTAATGATTACCCAGACTGCAGTGAGTCACAGCTCAGCAGCTGTGGGAACCTGAAGACTCACTGCAGGCTATCATGTTTTTAGTCAAGGATCCAGATTCAGTCTTTTGACTTTTGGCTGATACTTCCAGGAGTGGGAGGTTGTCTGGCATTGTTTGTTCCACCTGTGCAACTGTCACGGGCTCGTCTCCACCTAAAGGTGCGATTTGATGAACACTATGACTACAACATCAACAGTGTGAAAGAGGTGCACATCCAGCATGACCCATACATTGTTCTGATACAGACAGACAAGCCAGTTTACAAGCCTGGACAAGAGGTCAAATTCAGGATCCTTACACTCACACATGACTTGATGCCTGTCGCTGGCACAGTAAGTAAAACCACCGAGATGAATAGGGTGTTAATATCTGTAAGTTACTTTGATGTAAACAAAGTGATCTAACCAGTTCCTCTGCCACCAAACTGTTTGAAAACATTCAGCACTTCACTCCAGTTATTTATTTTCATATTGAAATTGCATGGTGACAGAAGAATTAATGCTGGTGTATGAAAAGAATGTGGTCATTTCCCAGTACTTTCCTTGTTTTTCAGGGTCTTTCTTATGTCTCATATAAGACCCTAGCAGAATTATTGATTATTAGAATTAATATGGAGTTAATTATTTTCATAGTAAGCTAGTGGGATTGTCAGGCACACTATTGGTATTTTCTATTTTGAATTCCTTGAATTATTGTGACACGTTATTTTTAGACATTTAAAGGTTTATTGGTGTAATTTTGCTACAGCATACGTCTCATTGATGTATATTTCAAATTAGCATACATGTTATTAATCTTTGAATTGTTTATTCAGTGGGGAACTTCATGATGTGTTCACTTCATCATAAATTAGAATTATTAAAGCAAGACGGATATGATGGCTGGGACACCTAATATGTACAGGAGAGATGACACTGCATGCTGACGGGTTAATGTGGGATCTCTTATTTTCAGATCAGTAGAGTATGGATTGAGAGTCCATCTCAAGTTCGCTTGGCACAGTGGTTAGATGTGAGTACAGAACAAGGACTGGTGCAACTCAGCTTCCAGCTCTCGCATGAACCACCTCAGGTAATAAAAAAGATTAGCATCAGACTTTTTACATGTATGTAGTTTTTATCATCTACATCCACAGTATGTATTTACAATTCATTTTGGTAGTTTAGGTTCCACTTCACACATCAAAAACCATTTTACATATTACTAATTGGTAAGAACTTTAGTCACTGAACATATTGTTCATAATGAATTTTTTACTGTTATCAGCTGTTGTGTAGTCATTATACTGGCTAATTTTCTGTCATCAGTAATATTGCTCGATTATTATGTCATGGCACAGATCTGCGTGAAAGAGGGAGTGAAGGGGGAACATGACAGCAGGATGAGTGAGCCTGTTTCGAGCCACTCCGACACAGAAATCAACTGCCAACAGGGAACTGAACTGTCTACCTCTCATACCTGCTGTAAGAGAATACTGACTCACTCATTCTATACATACACGAAAATTGTCTTCTGTGCATGTGCCATCACATTGTAATCGAGCTCTATCAACATACAGTCATGCAGATTTCTGAAGTGGGGGTGGCACTAGCTTCATATAATGTAATGTGCTGATAACTTTGTGTAATAGTAGACATTTGAAAAATACACAGTCTGTTGAAACTTCTTCATTTTTTTCTTTTTGGTCCATTTGAATGTAAATGGCAATATACAGCCATTTGAATTCTGGGTTCACATTTCATTTTGATAGCAGTAACTAACAAATCATTGGAATAAGGTCTGTTAAATTTTGTAAGGGATACAACTCAAGAACATACTTTCACATTATGTGTGAAACGTTTGTGTATGTTAAAAATTGTTATTACACTGGTGCAAAACTTTACTATCATATTTAATAAATTTAATGTAATGCTAATCTGAATTTTGCTTAAATGAATGAGTAACTGTATAATTATTAGGTTAAGTTTTTGTAGGTATCACCATATTAAATGAAACCCTTGAAGTAAAGGTGTCATAAATTCTTTCCAAAACTTGCTGTTTTTTCTAGGGTCTATGGGAGATTAAGGTCGAACGAAATAAATCTCACACTCATGTTCAGAAATTTGAAGTTCGTGAATATGTTCTTCCGAGGTTTGAAGTCACCATAAAGGCTCCTGAATATATCTTGGCTGATGCAGGATACCTCAACTGGAACATATGTGCCAAGTAAGGGGGGAGATGGGTGAATGGGTCTATACTGAGACCAGAGAAAGTTGTCACATGAATTGACCACCTCTTTATCACCCTTGAGGAGTTATACATCCTCCTTCAACATATTTCCCTGTATTCTCATCCAGTCACCGAGCCTAGCCACTCTGTCCACATGAATGTCGGTAAAGATGATCTTCACCAGTGACAGACATTTTGGGCTGGTTTATATGAGACAGAAGGGGCTGGGGGGGAATACAGCAGTAGGACTTCTTACCTTGGCCTCAGTATAGTTCAGTGGTTCTCAGGTTTGGCCACTGACTATTTTCATGAAAATACAAATATGCAGACCTAACTTTTTAGTCAAGTTTAATGCAATTCTGGGAGAGTTTCTTACATTCTTTTTCTGCCTTTGTTTATTTCCATTCGTGCTTTGAATAAACTCGATTTTTGAATATGTTTAACACGTCTCATGTTTGAAGGTAATTACATACTTTGAACATTCAGAGTAGAAAGTTATTTGAAACTGAATGTGGCCAGAGAACGTTATGTTTGTGAATGCAATTGGGAAAGCTGTTTCTCAAGAACTGCTGGCCAGTCTAAATCTGTAAGATTTTGGGTTCACACAGAAGTGAGCATGAAGATTACAGTCGTCTGGGATGTACGTACTGCCTAGGCCTTGCTGACTGCTGCTTGGCTTACACTTTGACACTGAAGGTGGTAGCGGTATGTTATTGTGCAACATCAGCGAACTTCTACCACACTAAGCGACATTACATCCCAGAAGATAGTGCTTTTCATAGAATAGCTCGATAGCTGCCAAACATTTGATAATCATGTGGGCATTCATGTGAATTCATGGTCAATTTTGCTGAGTTTGGACAAGGTGTTATTAATGACCCACAGTTACCTTTACATAAAATGTATTCAAATTTAAGCCAGAAAATGGACAAGATTTCTTGAAATATATCAATACATTTCTTATTTGCTTGGAGGTTTGTTTTTAAATTGAAGTACACATTCAGAATTAACTTGACTTGTCATATATCATGTACAATGATCTACAGTGACGAAATAAATCAATCAATCAATCAATCATTTTAAAGTAATACTTCACATTCTGTTGACCTAAGAATTTGTTTGCCACTACTTGAAATAAATATGATGGACATTGTTATCAGTATTTGTAAGAAATTCACACTAACCTGGACATTTCAAGAGGAAAATTATTGTAATTTTAACATTAAACTCAACTTGAAATATTTGTTTTCCAGTATGGTATTTTTATACATTGTTCAAACTGCTCTCAGTTTGGCCAGTATTGTTTATTTAGTTTGCATAGCAAAGCTTTCGGTAATGCAGAGTATATACCATGAAATGATTAGACAGAAATGTGTACAAAGTGGTAAGAAGTTGGAAGGCAGAAGGTGTGGCATAATTTGGAGCACATTCTTGAAGGAGTTAATGAAAACGTTAGCCAGGATAGACATATTCTGGACGAGATTTGAACCAAACACAACTCTAATACAAATCAGTGATGTTACCACTTGAGCCATTCTGCTTGTTGGTACAGTATTTTTATATAAAATATGTGTGAAAATTAATTTTGATAATTGCTGTCATGTGTACTCTAATATGTCAGTGGGTCTGTAGGTATACTTATGGACAGCCAGTAAAAGGACAGCTGCACATTAAGGCTATTCCACAAACTCCAACATGGCGCCAGAGGAAAACAAAACCACCAGAGATAAACGTGATGACTCAGGTAAGGTATACTTTCTACTGTGAATAATAGTGAGTGTCCATTCTTAGCGCCACTGTGTCCTACTTTTCTGCCCACAACCCCTACCATCAGGACCACTTTTTTCCATGCTCAACTTACTGTTCTACCCCAATATGGAGGAAGGAAGTTCCTGTGAAAGGTTAGGTAATGAGCTACCAGACTGCATGGGGGGAGCTGGGATAAGTCAGTCTCTATAGTGACTGGCTATGAGCTGGATGGCCAGATTTTGATCCCTGGTGGTGCAAAGTTTTTCTCTTCTCCACAATATACAGATTGGCTCTGGGGCCCACCCATCCTCCTATTCAGTGAATGCCAGGGCCGTTTTCCCTGGAGGTAAAGTGGCAGGGGCATGAAGCTGACCACTCACTTCCGTCTAGTGCCGAGTTAAAAAATGGTGGAGCTGTACTTCCACCCCACCATATGTCTTCATGGCATGGTGCTTATTTAATTAAACAAAGGGGCAAATTTACCTTACCTTTATGTAATATTAAGGGCTTTGCTTCATATACTCACAATCCAATCATAAAACCTAATATTGAAAAAAATATGAAACACAGGTATCTGGAAGCTCTTGTAAATAAACATGTTTAAAAATTGCAACAATTGATGACTGAGGTTAGTGTTGGCAGATCTACATATGAGATTGAGTACCATCTACTGGCAGTGCTTGCTAATATCTGTCGGCATACTGTGTTGGTATAGTTTTGCGCAGCATTATAACAATTTTGTTTTCACAGAGTGAAAATATGTTTGCTTCTGTGTTGCATTATGATAACCCAGCACCTCTAGAATCATGACTGTTGTGCAACATAGCTCTGTTGGATGTCTGTGTTTCAGCTGAACAGGACTGATGGCTGTTACACATTCAGTATCACAGGAACAGAGCTGGGTTTGCACGACTGGGATATTGCCCCCAACAGCATCGTTGTATCTGCATTCGTGACTGAACGAGGCACAGATAACATTCAGAATGTGACTTCAGTCACTTCTGTGATCCACCAAGCACTGAAACTAGAGTTCCTGCCTCATAGCTCCCAGTACTTCAAGCCAGGACTGCCATATAAGGGAAAGGTTTGTATAGGAATAGGGAATGTTCTTTAATTTTGAAAAAAGAATCCTTAATTCTGGGGAAGGGGCATAGTGGTTGTTGTTCTGTTATGTCCTTTGCAGGTAATGCTTAAAATGAAAGCATAGGTTGGTCCTGGTATGCTTTCTCCAGAATTAATTAAAGCCTACACTAAAAGTTGTCACTAGAGTTTGCTTTTGGCTTATAACAATGTAATAGAACCCTTGCACTTAAGTCTTGAATATACAAAATGAAAAATATGGCTAAGAAAAAGTGTTAATCATATGGACTACTAAATCCTACCAAACTCTATGATGTCACATCCTAGAAGATAGTGATGTTCATTAATTTCCCATGTGTTATTCTAATTTTTAGTTTAGTTTGTATATTAATAGAATACATACTAATACAGAATGAAGCTTTTCAATGTGTGCAGTTTAGTGTCTTAGCAGAATTACATTCCTGTAAAACAGAACTTGACATGGTAATCCATAATAAGAAGATTGAATGACAAGAAAAACGGTGGGATATAATGTTTAATTGCAGGTTAAAGTACTCAAGCAAGACAATACTCCTGCAATTGGAGAAGTGTTACAGCTTTGCCTCAAGGTGCGAGGAAAAGGAGAGTGGAGTCGTACACTTGTTATGTGCAAGAACTTCACGTCAGATGTTGAAGGGTTTGTTCAGTTCCTGGTTCCACCACAGCATCACAATGTTGTGCTTCTCTCTTTTGTGGTAAGCCACACACTTTCATGAATTTAGAATATCATATATTGATCAATTGGTTATTTTATGATGCTGTTACCTGTCCATGAGGTGTATCAGTAGTTATTTATACTTGGGTATATCAGGTAATGTGAATGATGCAATTTGGATAGGGAAGAGTACTTGGTGAGATGACTTCTTACTGAAATATTTTATGGTACATTCAAAATATCTGACACTATCATCATTACTGTATTTTAAATACAGTATTTCTTAGAGTTCAACATCGTAGGCTTGTGGGATTGTCGATGTTCTAAAAGACAACCACATAAAACTGTAACAATTGTATATATTAAATTGTATAAATTTAATGTACAGAATAGCTGCGAAGCTATGTGGAATGTCAATGTTCAAAAGTTGGCTGGTCCTCAAAAGGACAGTTTGTTCCACCATGAGTGCGCTGGGAGAATTTGCTCCTTTGTAGTAGACCAAGTCTTTACGGCTGTTCATCTGGTTTGTCTGGCCGGTGATTTGGTGCTGTGTGCGCTGGTAGGAACAGCTACCTATGGTGCAGAAGATGACAGCCGTTGTCTCGGCTTGGTTGCTGGAGAGCTGCGGCAGCTATGTTAGCTGTCTGGTAGCAGAGCGTGGTTGCTGGAGAGTTGCGGCAGCTACGATAGCTGTCTGGTAGCAGAGCGCGGTTGCTGGGAAGTTGCGGCAGCTGTCTTTGGCGCAATGAAGACCTGATGACTCTGATGACTGAATGCGATCACTGATGATTGCGAGCTTTGGGGTCCTCCTTTTTTAATATGCTTCCTGTGGGAGGAGCTTAAACTTGCAATTGTGATTGTGGGTGCTGATTGGCTAGCGCGCGCTATGATGTAAAGATGGGCTGGACAGCGAGTGCTGTATAAATACGAGCATTGGCAGCAATGTGATATTGACTAGGTGTTGAGTGCTGTCTGTTAGACCGGCGAAACCGCGTGTTAGTATGTGGGATGTTCCCACAGACTGTTACAGAATTTTGAAAATGAAAACTGCTGCAGACTGGTTCCTGTTACTTAAAACTGTTGTCAACTTTATGTTTTACTTTTGTTAGTTAACTTATTTTGTGGTGGAATTTGACAAAAAGGGAACTATACTCGTATATCAGATGAGAAATGTCACAATTTAAGAATGATTTTCAGTAGTACTTTCATAATTTAAAACATTTTCTGGTCCAAATATATATGTAAGAAAAGAATTTTATGAAAGAACAGGACAAAATCAATTAATCATTTAAAGATAGTATTTGTTTTGGTTTTGCAATCATGAAGAAAGTTAGAGAAATTAACTTCGCAATTGTGAAGTGGATTTAGGTGGTTCAGGATAAGTTTCAGTGTTGGGCTTTTGTGTTCATGGTATGAAGCATTTTGGTTTTTTAAAAGTCAGGAAATTCTTGGAAAGAAAAGATCCTGCATTGTACCGATAAAAACTTTCTTTTCTTAAATCTTACACTTGTACTTTCTTGCAGGCTACAGCAGTAGGATATCAAACCAAGTATTACTCACCAGACAAGAGATGGCGTGTGTTTATGGACCAACCGTCTGCTTTCTTTGATGTTCACACATGGTTTTCTCCAACAGACAGTTACATAGAAATAACAGATAAAAATGAGAAGACGCTCAAGTGTGAATCTGATCACAAGTTCGACATTTATTATACAGCACAGCCAAATGTCACTCAGCTCACCTTCCATTACTTGGTGAGCATTATATAAGGAATTGTTGGTAAGAAACTGTTCATTCAAATCTTCGCACTGTGATTTTCCGGGCTAAGTTGCTGTATAATCTGGTATCTGGTTAGAGGGAAAGATACTGCCATTACTTTCTGGGTAGAAATGAAAGTGAGGTAATAGATTTCTCCAAAGCACTGGTACAGAACTGTATGCTGCGGGTTTTGACGCAAATTTGTAAAGTGATGGGACAGGTGTATCAGTGTTGGTGGAGAGTATGTTTGTTGAGAAATAAATGTCTTTTCCAGGTTGAAATATCACGTGTTTTACGTTTTATATCCATCTTTTTTTTTTTTCCTGTGGCGCTACAGCCCCAATTTGGGCCTAGGCCTACCTCCATGAAACTCTCCATTTCACTTCGGTTTACTAGATCTTACACATACGGTAGGACTCCTTGGGCGAGTGATCAGCTTGTCACAATGCCTCTACCTGTAGACAAACACAGAAAAACACACACAAACATCCATGCCCTGAGTGGGATTCGAACCCACGATCCCGGCTTCTGAGTGAGCGAAGACAATGCATGCCTTAGACTGCTTGGCTACCGTGACCGGCTTTATATCCATTAATTATCCTAATTACTGACCCTCCCTCATATTAAGATATGAAGTTATTTTGCAAGCATAACAAATGTAAATATCTTTGAGGTAAAGTATGTCATTTACATATATAGAATATAAAACTTTTCATGATCATACACCACTGTTTTAGTTTTGTACCGGTGGATAAAACATATTCAGTTTCTGGCTGCAATCTTCCCTTTATCATTTCTTGCCAGCTGTTTCCACTCTGCCAGTACCTGGCTGAACCATCTCACTCTGAGTCATCCTATAGATTATCATCAAACCACCTTGATTTATTTGTTTTCTTGTTGCAGTGGACCATACTCAACATTAATTTATTTCCACATGGCAATTAAATTGAATAGCTCGGTTGTTTTATTAAACATGAAACATTATATGAGGCCTAGAAGTTCTTGTAGAGAGGTTTTCAGAGAATTAGGGATACTTATAGTTCCCTGTTTGTTTATATATGCCATGGTCATATTTGTAATTGGAAACGAAAATAATTATCTTACAAATAATAGTGTACATAAAATTAACACTAGAGTACAAAATAGACTACACGTCACATCAGCTAGGCTATCCATTATACAAAAGGGAGTGTATTATACATCCATAAAAATTTTTAATAATTTGCCACATAAATTATATATTTTAAAGGATAGTGTTAATTTATTTAAACGAAAACTAAAAGACTTTCTTATCTTGAAAGCTTTCTATTTTATTGATGAATATATGCAAATACCTAATTGTATTATATTCCTATTGTATCTAGGCTGTGTCTAGTTGGACTCGGTTGCATATCGCAACTACTTTTAATTAATCTGACGAGCTCAATATCCCGCCCAATACGGGCAACAGATCTATGAAGCTATGTGTGTATGTATGACTATACAATTATGAAAAGGAAATATGTGTGAAATGGTCACTTAATGAGCTGAAGTAGAGGTAAGAAAATTTATTAAACTGTGTCTTAGGGAAGCAGGAAGATGCAGATTTGATTTTGTTAATTCAGTGTGAGATCCTAATATTATTTTTATTCTTCAGTCATCAACGCAACAATTGTTTATTAATTTAAAGCACACTACATGTTTCGACCCTCAAAGGGTCATGCTAAGATATTCCCAGTTACACGATTGTTTCGACCCTTTGAGGGTCAAAACACATAGCATGGTTTAAATTAATAAACATTTGTTGCATTTAAGACTGAAATGTAAAATTAATATTATTATTGTATTCATGCAACAGGATGCATACAATAAAAATAATGTGAGATCTATGTGTGATATTTTATGGTGCTGATGACAGATTTCTAGGTTCTGTGCCTGTTCAATATTCGGGAAATATGCTATTCCAGGATGTAAGTGTGTGTATTAAAATGAATTTTAAAGTTTGAACTAACTGGTTACACACCATTTATATTCTCTACTTAGGTGAAGTCTCGAGGTGATCTCATCCAGTTTGGTGAGATCCAGCACCACACACAGAACCAGAAACTGAGGCTGTATGAGGGGTTTGTCAATATTCTCGGAGGGAACGATGATGCAGATAGGAACTCTAGTGAAGAAGCAGAAGATGAGGGGGCAACTGTAGAGAAGAGCGTTGATAAAGTTGCTCTTCATATCAAAATACTCCCCAAGATGTCACCACTGAGTTACCTCTTGGTGTACTATGTCCGGGAAGATGGGGAAACTGTTGCTTCCATGTACACTATTCGAGTGAACAAGTGCTTTGCAAATAAGGTAACAATGATACATTTTTATTTCTAATAGACAATGCAGGTGAATAACAACCATCCTCAAGAATATGGTTTTCTAGGACCTGATGCTATCTAGTTTGGTATACTGGTACCAATATTTCATAGGAACATATTTCTTCCATCTTCAAGGTAAAAGAGGCAATAGAGAAGGTATAACCCAATCCTTGATCTTCAGAATTAGATGGAGATAAGTGATGAGACTTAAGTCTCGTCAGTTTACAGGTGGGGAAAAGCCATGTGGTACCCCTTGATGTTAAACCAGTGGCAAAGAGAACTATCTGTACTTCCAGCAGTTCTTTTACTATACTAACAGAACTATCCTAGCTTCTCTGTTCATGTGGTTTTGCAGAAATTCAGCAACCAAAGTGTAGGTTACACTGATTGCTTTAAAGGACAGATTTTCTTGTGTTGATTTTATATGATGAAAATTCCTTTTGTAAATAGCAGCAGGTTTGTGCATCTGTGGGTTATTTGTAGATGGCGTCCCACATTGGGTGTTGTCTTTTATAGTTGGAAATGCTCCTTTGAAAATGTGGGACAACTTCATAATCATCTCAGTTTTGATGTATGTGTTTAGAGTGAGATATTTCTGTTTTCATGAATGGTTGTATGGGCATATTTATAGTTTTCAAACTATTAGTTAGTTAGTTATTGGAGAGGGTGGGTTTCCCCATGCACTTAGACCAGTATTGGTCCATTGTGCTTCCCTCTATGATATTCTACCAATCTCTATATCCTACCGATATTGGTGCGTACCATCAGTCCCGACTGAGCCAGCGAGTTCGGCTTCCACTAGCTTGGCGGTATCTATAATGCCTCCCCCATCTATCAGAGGTGTTAGAGACTATTCGTTGGGCGGGAAACGTCCTTGAATTTGGCTCAGTGATCTCTTTAGGAGATATGAGGTTCTTTTACGTGCCGTAAAGCTACGACACGGGACCCACGGCTTAAAGTCCCTCCCGGAGGACTTATTCCCTGAATTTTTCCGCCCTTAAAAATTCGACGACCTCCGCCGGGTTTGAACCCGCGTACCACGAGTCACGAGGTGGGAACGTTACCTCTAGACTACGGAGGCCGCTTTTCAAACTATTAAATGTAATGTATAAGTTCTGAATTTGATTCTTTGTTTCATGTGTTAGTAGTCATATATAATTCACATAACTGAGCCAACTTTAACACCATTAATGAACTGTCTGTTGAATCACGTATCATGAATAATGTGTTTTGCAGGTTGTTGCAAAGTTTTCTGAGCACCGTCAGTTCCCAGGGTCAGAAACACTACTGGAGATTTCAGCATCCCCTCACTCACTGTGTGCTGTCTCAGCAGTTGACAAAAGTATAAGTTTCTTGGGAAAGCCTGGCAGCAAACTGGATGTGGATCGAATGTTCCAGGACCTGTCTCGCTTTGCAATTGATGCAAACAGTGCACCATTACAGACTGATCCTTGGGAGTATTGTGCGAAAAGTGAGTTAAGTAATAAGCTTTGTAGCTTTATAGGTTGTCAACCATGTATCTGGATATAAAGTAGCATAAAATCGTTCAGAGCCTTCCATAAAATTCCATATTTATCATCAGTAAATACTGAGCAGTGGTATTGTGTCTGACTTGTATTCTGCCGAGACTCGGTTCACATTTAGATGGCGTACTTGCAGTTAGCAGCAGCTGGGATATCTCAGTCGGTGTAGTGACTACTAGCTGGACAGCCTGGGTTCGATTCCTGACAGTGCAAGATTTTTCTCTTGCCCACAGCATCCAGACCAACCCTGAGGCCACCCAACCTCATATCCAATGGGTACCAGGCGTTCTTTCCCGGGGAAATAAAGCACCAGGGGCATGCAGCTGATCCCTGACCTCCAGCTAGTGCCAAGGTCAAGAAAATTGAAGCTATACATCCACTCCTCTATACGCCTTCATTGCAAAGTGCTTGAATAATTAAGCATAGGGACAGATTTACTTTTTATATGCAGCAGTCATGATTTTACATGTTTCTTCTAATTCATTCTATGTAATAGTTTCTCATGTACAGGCTTTGAAACTGGGGAATCTGGGTTTCATTCCCAGTGGGGGGCAGAGGCTTTTCTCTGCTCCAGTATTCAGACTGCTTCCAGGGTGTACCCACCTTCCTATCTAGTGGATTCCAGTGTGCTTACCCAGCATTTAAAGCTGCTGGGTCATAAACCTGACCACTAACATCCATCTAGTTCTGATGTTATGTGTGCATCTCTGCCCTTACAACCCCATTTTTCTTCCTGGCCTGTCACTTAATTGAGCACATATTTTATGAACTTTAGAAATATGTGGCATCTAATGCTTTTCTTCCACGTTTTTTGAAGAATATTTTGCTAACCAAAGTTCATTTATTTAGAGGCTCAAGGGCGTGAGGATGTGACATCAATGGCTGGAACAGAGGAGGTGAGTCAAAAACCTAGTCGAGGAGTCGTGGTTGAGCCTCCATTCTGGGATTTGCGTCGGAGGAGGAGGAAACGATTCATAGCCACTCAGCCACCTTCGAAGTATGTGGACTCCATTCAAGCATTTGACGTAAGTAAACATGCTCACCATTTTGATGATCTTAAATATGTTGCCTGTGCACCAGATTTACGCTTTTATATTTGGTCCATTTTTGATAACATGTTTATTTACTTAATCTTGCTTTTCTCACAAAGTTTTTGTCAGAATTTCAATTTTATAATTATGTAGTATATTCTTGAGGTCAGTAGAATTGGTAACTTTCAGCCCTTTCCACTGAATTAGTACTGTTTTCTTACAGTGAAAATAGTTTTAGTTGCATCCAGTATGTAGCACCATGATACCATAATTTTATGTAAACATATAATTTTAAACATGAAACATAGTGTATTTCAAAGACAGCCTAATTATGAGAGGTCTGAGGTTCTCATGTAGTTACTGTGAAGATTACTTTCTTCCAAGATGTGACCATCATGTAATTTAGTGGATTGGTACCAGTTTTTCAGAGAAACTACTGTTTCTGTGAATTCTGTTGACTTGTTGAATTCAGTTGGCTTTCTATTTTGAAATTTTTATCTGATTTCAGTCCAGTTTTTAATTAATTTGGTATGTTCTCTTCTCCATTATGGCCTGTTCAAGTTATTTTGCAATTCATCTCATAAATTTAATTTTAGCAGCTTTAGTTCTGCACCAACTGACATAAAATTATCATCAAAAGTAGGACCTGGCCAAGATGAAACCTGGTGACTATATATTTGTCCTTTGCTGTACAGTTATTGGACATCTGACCATTAAATATAGTTTCTGATCCAATACATGGCTACTACCTGAGGTTTGACCACTATCTGCTATTTATACATTAGTATCTGGCCACTCCCTGAGACCTGCTCACTATTTACAATTTCTGTGCTAGTGTGTGGCCACTCCTTGATCCCTGGTCACTGTTTGAAATTTCTGTGCAAGTATCTGGCCACTGTTTTGAAACCTGGTCACTGTTTAGAATTTGTGTGCTAATATTCGTCCACTATTTGAGATGTGGTCAGTATTTACAATTTCTGTGCTAGTATGTGGCCACAGTTTGAGATGTCACCATTTACAATGTGTGTGCTAGTATCTGGCCACTATTTTGGAACTGTTCAGTATTTATAAATTTGTCATCCCAATGTCACATTACTATTTCATATCTTCTGTATTAGAAACTGGTGACTGTGAGATTTGACCACTGTTTACAAGTTATACTGAAGTATCTGATTACTCTGTGAGGCCTGGCCACTGTTTACAATTTCTGCATTATTATCTTGGTTCTTTTGTATTTCAGCATCCTGTTGCAAAACTTTGATTAAAACATCTATGTATGCACAGTCCGTCAATAATGCAAGAATTGTTTATTCACCATTTGACACTTAACACATGTTTCGGCCATAGATAGCCATCTTCGGGTGTCTTAATGTATCGAAACTATTACACTGCTCTAGTGTGTAATGAGGTGGCATAGGATTTTACAAATATAATGAAAAATTTTAATGGATTTTAATTAACTGTTTTTATGCTATTTTTAAGTGGACTGCAGCACACATTAGAGCAGTATAACAGTTCTGATACATTAAGACACCTGAAGATAGCCATCTATGGCCGAAACATGTTGTGTTAAGTGTTAAATGGTGAATAAACAATTGTTGCATTATTGATGGACTGTGCTGTGCATACATAGACGTTTCAATATCTTGGTTCTATTTAAGACCAGTTCACTGTTTTTTTTTTTTTTTTTTNGAGCATCTGGCCAGTAATTGAGACCTGGACACTACTCTCAGTTTCTCTGGAAGTAGTGAAGTACATTTTGAGCTGCTCTACTATTTTAGTTAAAGTGGTTAACCAGAAACTTGCATCCTGTTGTGATACTATTTCTCTGCAGGATTTTGGAGTAGTGGTGATGTCTGATCTCACAGTGGAGACAAGGCCATGTAATACAATGACAGGTAAATGTATGAATCTCATGAATGTACTTTGCATGTAGCTTGCAGTATTATTCCCGTCCCAGTAGAAATATATGGATTATAATTTATGTATATTTTGTTAGTGATAACCTTTCATGCACTGCAATGTCTCATTAGAACATAGTAATGTTGCTTGCTTGTGAAGAGTAGCACTGCCAGTAACATATCATACCATATAGTTTTCAGAGTTCTGTAAATGTTATGTATATTCCAAAATATCTTCTGTTTTGAAAGTAATTTAAGCAATACTCACAAAATTGCTGTGCCATGGATCAAATGTGTTAGGTGTTGGTTTCTTTCCTGAAGGCCCATGTTCAATCCCAAGCCAGTTCATGTGAGATTTTTACTGAACAAAGCAATACAGGGGCAGACAGTTTTCTAAGAACTTTTCTGTGTTTATCCTGCTTGTCATTATTCTACCATTGCTCTGTGTCACCTCTCTTTTTGCTGTCCACTTGGAAAATGTGCACATGCTTATATGCAAGAAAATGTAAATATTCATCAGCTAAAAGGAAATCTGAAATGAGCATTGAGGTATTTAGTTACATAAATAGCTTTGTAGCAGTATATAATGGGGAAAATAGGCTCCCTAGATCTCAGACTCTAGAAAGCTACTTCAGGTCAAGTTTTGTGAGATTCAGTTCAAGATTGTACAGTTTGTAAATACATGGTGTTGTTATTATTAAGAAAGTCATTGATTCCAGTTAAGAGCTTTGCATACTGAGCACATTGCTTCAATATTCCGTCTTTCACATTGTGTTCTTGTATGTTATTATGGATTTATGTCCTTCAAATAGGTCAGCAAGAAGGAATGTTTCTGGAAAGATCATCTATGTTGAAGAGATCAGATGAAGCAGGTGATAGTTTCAATGTACAGAGTTTGGGGTTTTCTTGTATAATGCATGCTGCATACTTTATGTGTGTGAAAGCTGAGAGGCATGCTCTGTGGCTTCAGCATGATTGAAGATATAATTTTGGATAGCTATTTCTTTTGCATGATATCTCATTTATGTATGTCTATGTCATAAAGAGTCTTTATGTTTAATTGTTTGTTGCATCCTGTTGTGTATTTTAATGAATATTAGATTTAATTTTACCGACCACACAACACGTTTTTTATTTACTGTCACACTACATGTTTCGACCTCAAGAGGTCATCCTCAGGTGTACGAACGCAGTTGCACAATCACACGCAATCACATTTCATTCTTCCACTTATTTTTTCATCCTGTATCCTGTTCAGGTCCACGATCAAATTATATGTATTATTACATATTACATAAACATATTATTTGAGCGTGGACCTGAACAGGATACAGGATCAAAAATAAGTGGAAGAACGAAATGTGATTGCGTGTGATTGTGCAACTGCGTTCGTACACCTGAGGATGACCTCTTGAGGTCGAAACATGTAGTGTGACAGTAAATAAAAAACGTGTTGTGTGGTCGGTAAAATTAAATCTAATAGTCTTTATGTTTGCCTTCTCCCTGGTCAGTATTCCTTTCATAATTATGAAATTGACTCTTACTCACAGTCAATTACAATAACTCACAATAAATGACCGCCTAGGACTTGCTCCATTCTGTGTGGCTCCATTGTGGTCTCTCTCTATTCTGATCTGAATGGCCTCTTATGTAGTGTATCAGTGTCCAAGGAAATGTTTTTTGATTACTCGTATCCATGGAAATGTGTTCTGTAACTAGTTAGTTTCCAAGAATCAATCTCTATGGAAACATGTTTGTTAATTTGGTTCCTAGCAATTGGTCTACATGTCACAGTTGGTTGAAATGGATCTATCTTATGGAAATAAGATATGAGGGTGTGAACTTGACTGAGTTCCCTCATGATGGCATCCATCGGTATGCATCTGTGACGTTGGTGCTGAAGCTTGAGGAGCAACTGGAACATTTCATATATGATTTTAGGCATATCTCCATTTATGTTAGATGTTCATGTGTAGCTTCTTTGGGTTTTTCTGAATCAACACTTGAGAACCTTTTGTGTTAATTTGTGTATATGAGAGTGATCATGGTAAAGGTTGTGCGTGTTTGTGTAGGAGCATATGGTTCATTATTTAACACACATCGAGTGTCATAAGATTCAACGAAGTGTTGAGTGACAGAGTAGCTTCTGTAACCTCCTATCTTTTACTATGTATGTGTATATAAATGCTGTGTGATTTCCAATCCAATTCTCCTTAATCACTGCTTATGTGAATTGCAATTTTTTTAAATATAGTATACAGGAAATGTTTGGATGTGATTGAGATGGAGTAAGAAATAGAAGATGTCACATAAAGAGAAACTTTTATAATTATACAGGTACCTACTATTGTTAAAGAAGTCAAATCAAAGAGATTTTATATCTATATTATATTTTAAGAATGAATTTTAATGGCGAAACCTTGTAAGAAGTGGCCACATAGTATATAAAGGATATTGAAGGTTGATATTAAAGTAGGTTTTCAGGATGTTAACTGACTCAAGATCATAATTATTGTGGGCTATCAGCAGTGTTTAGCCTCCCGATGCTGTTACTAAGCAGAATTGCTTATCCACCTCGGCTACTTTTTTATGTTCTTATAATAAATAATTTGTAGCACATTATCAGTCAGTGTAAAAAGCTTTGAACTTTGAAATTCATACTATGTAATTTTCAGAGTCTTCTCCAATACGTGGACTGATGATGCCCAACACACCCCCTCTTGCTTTCCCGCTTGTGGTTAAAGCTGCAACAATGCTTCAGGGCTATATGGAGGATTCGCGCCCTTCGGCAGTGGAGGTGCGCTCATTCTTCCCCGAGACCTGGCTATGGGAGTTGCAGTATACAGGGTGAGTATTTTTAGCTGAAGGATTGAATTAAACGCTAGGCCATAGTGTATCACTTCGTTAGAAGCATAGCCCTGTAAAGGTTTATATAAACCTTTTTTTATAATTCTTTATTCTCTATATTTCAGTGTTTTTCAAACTGGTATGAATCGTACTGGTCAGACTTGATCAGTTGGGTGGAAAATGAAGTCTCAAAAATTTTAATTCATGATTAATCAAAAATTTATTTAATGATTAATTTACAGTGCAACTCCTGTTTAAGGTTTCTTTGGCGGCAATGAATTGGAACACAAAACTAAGGAAAATAAGTGGAAGAAATTTAACACTGAAGTTACTGACCTGGAATCATTGAAAATGCAAACTGGTTGAGGGAGAACCGTAAAATAGTGAATATTACAAGGGGATTCGACTGTGACACTGAAATATATTATTCTCAAAGCCTACTTCATAGAAAAAAGCGAAAATTTCCTTTACTGTGATGTGGCTTTTGGGGGTGGGGGCCAAAATGACTGATGGGTTACAAGGTGGAAAAGGTTGAGAACCACTGCTCTGTTTCATCATCTGACTCTGAAAAGTGTAGTCTTGGTTATATCTTGCTTTTGTCTATATTGTTATGTGTATTAGTGACTTGTATATGGGGTTTGGATTGGCGAATTGATTTATTGGATAGTTACCAGCCATGACAACAATTAATTATAACGCTCTCAGATGCCTATAACCATAAGACAGAAAGTGAAGTCTTCAACACCTGCTTCCTGTGTAACATGATGAATCTTGGAGAGTCTGTAGTCTCTTGAAATCACACTAATTCACTTCTCAGTGATGGCAAGTCGAGTCAAGTCTTATGTTATGACCAACAGCCAGACTGTCTTGAAATAAAGCACCTATCTGGGACTTATGACCAAATTTTTATAACTGTCAGACAATTGCAGGTTTGTTGATTTGGCACGCTGTCTCTGATGATAGGATGGGTCTGTCGTTTACCATTGCTGCTGGTTTTCACCAGCGCAGTCATTCTTGGGTCCAGGTCCCTTGAGACTCACAACCATATTTCATTGTCTCAGATTCGAGACTTCCCTTTCTGTCACCTCCTATGACTTGCAGGGTTACAGTGGAGGTTTTCGACCCCATTTCCACACATGAGTCACTGACAGCTTCTCAACTGGCCTCCTTTTATCCCTCCTAGGTGGGTGGGATAGGAATCACCTCCTTGAAGAATTATGTTTTTCATATCTGTTGTAACTGTTTATGTATGCATTGTCACAGGAATGTGTTTACACTTGCTACCTAGGCAACGATGCCTTCTCTGCTATTTGTTATAACATGTCAATATTCATTGCTGCAGAAACATGATTACCAAACCCTTCTCTAGCAATGGATGCCTGACTCCAACTCCGCTATTGTGACTTTCAAGCCTAATGTCACAATATCACGAAACTTCTAAAAACATTTCTGTGTGTGTAATGATAATATTCTGCTTTGTACTGGCAGGGACAGTGGAGTACTCACTCTGAATCGGGAGGTGCCTCACACAATCACAGAATGGATTGGCACCACAGTTTGTGTGTCTCCACAGCTAGGACTAGGGATTTCACCACCGGCACATCTCACAGCCTTCCAGCCTTTTTTCTTGGACTACTCAATGCCATATTCTGTAAAGAGGGGCGAGGTGGTTCAACTCAAAGTTTCACTCTTCAACTTCCTCTCATACAGCCTGCCAGTATGTATGAATTTGTGTCTTTGTGTTTCCCTTTCATCAGTAGTGAAATTCACGGGCTGATACATGCACTAAGCAAGTTTATTCAAATGGTAAAACTTCAGACTTATATGCAGGAAGTGCCTGGTTGAAATTTCGACCAGAACACAAACTATACTTATTGAAGTTTTATTGTGGTTTTCCTCAGACCCTTCAAACAGAATTCTAGAGTACCTTAAAATTGGCCACAACTTGTTACTTCTTACAGTCCATTCCAATTCATTATGCACTTTCATGCTGTCATTCACTGCTGCATATTCTGAGTTATTGGTACTGTCATTAAGCAAACCACAACAAAATAAAATAAATGTGTTGATGCATAGATAGTTCCCATATGTAATTTTTAGTGTATTATCTGTGATTTTGCCTATGTCTTTAGATATTGTATTGGTTTATTAGAGATACAAATGCAAATCTATTGTTATCTTATAAAATAAGTGCTGTGGTTACTTTATATCTGGGTCTTTTTATCTTCTGGGCATGGAACTGAGTAAACTTTGGACCCAGTTTCAGTTTTGCACTGAAAAGAAACCTGCTGCCTCAACTCATAATTGAATCTTAGTCATCATGCCCGTTGCCAATGACTTTCCTGACTGTCATAATTCATAATTCATAATTTGTAATTCATAATTTTTATTTACATCCATAACTGTAAAATATACAATCGGATAAAGTCAAAGGGAATATATAGATTTAATAACAATCACACCTAACATAATCAAAGAATACATAAATACTTAAATATATTATATAAAAAACCAGCAGCACATGCATTAACAGACAATTACAGTCATTTAATTCAACATCTTACATATAAAAAAACTCCTGAAGAGAGTAGAAGGCATTATGAAACAAATAACACTTCAATTTCCTCCTAAACACTTTAAAATCAGATACATTCTTTAACTCCATAGGAAGATTATTATATAGTTTTATGCCCATGTTTATCACACTTCTCTTACAACGATTTGTATTACAATGTTGGGCATACAGATTATGTTTATGCTTTGTATTGTAATTATGCACATCAGAGTTCAGAGTTGTATAGATTCTATTTTTTATGATAAAACATAAAATCTCCAGTATATACAAAGAAGTAACAGTTAAAATTTCTAACTCACCAAACAGCCTTCTGCAGGATGCCCGATTATCAACGCCCATAATGGCTCTTATGCATTTTTTTNTAAAACAAATATTCACCTGTAATCTATTTCCTTTCTTTTGACCACTCCAGGTATTCATTTATCGAATAAAATGATTGATTTAAGAGAAAATTATATATAGCTAACTTAAATTTTTTATAATGTATTACCATATTGTCAGTCAGCAGCCATTCTGATCTTGTTTAAGGTCCGAATTGTTTTTGAGGACCCACATGGAGTTGAGCTCATAAACGACAATTCTACTGTCTTGGCTTGTGTGGCTGAACGGACCACGTTCGTGCAGCAGTTCCATATTCGAGCATCAGATCTGGGCAAAGTGAACATAACTGTGTCTGCTGAGGTGGATCCCTCATACCCTGAGGAATGTGGTCCAGAAATTTTGGTTCATAGAAGGTATATACTGATTCATGAAGGCTTTACATAGGATCTCATACAAACATTGTACCTGATGAAAACAGTGTCTGTGGGATTTACAGGGAGACGTTTGCTATGAGGCTTGCTTCTTAACGTATCATCATCTGTTCTAAATAACCACAGAAACTGGTAGTTCATTATAATGGTCCCATTACTTAGCATGTCATAAATAACAGGTCCTAAGTTTTACGATGTTCACAATGTGCACTTCCCCTCCACACTTTCTGATACTCTCACTCTTAGTTTTATCCAAAAGGTTAAAACATAACAGTGCACTGGCAAATGGTCAAGTTTGACTTGTGCATCAATATACATCAACTGTTTTCCAGCATGCATGCTGGCATGTACTGACTGAAAAGTAGCTCTACCTATCATAATAATTTTCATACATTAGTGAAAGCTGAAGTTTAAGTACCATGCCTCAAAGATGTACATGAAAACTGAACCATCTTGAATGTGCTAAAATTGGCGTAATTTTTTTCAAAGGAAAAATGACAAACACATGCTCTCACAGATATATTGGGTTTTTGCACTTTATCCATCATCCTGGTTTTTAAGATAACTAATAAAAACATGACGGACCCAACAGAATAGGTGTTTTCCTTCACCTGAGGACGGAAACAGATCCAGTTTCCGAAACGTCGTGTTTTTATTAGTTATCTTAAGAACCAGGACGATGGATAAAGTCCAAAAACCCAATATATCAGTGTGTTATACACCATCGTCAGAATCCTATAGTAACTACATGCTCTCACAGTTTTAACAGTTCATGCTTCCGATTTCCTGTTTCAGAGACGTTCTTGTCAGACCAATTCTTGTGCATCCTGAGGGCTTCCCGATAGAAATCACCAAGTCAGCCTTCATCTGCCCCTCAAGTAAGGTCATAGTATTCCATTGTGTTGTTGTAAAACCGTACTCCTGTAGAACCGTAGTTTTTTTTATCGCAGCAGTATATACTTGTGGACACAAAAATTTGTAAGACTTATACTAAAGAAAAGTTACATGGTTCAGCTGTTGAATGCTGGTACATGTTTGCTCAATGAAATCTGGAGACAGCAGGTTCCTCCCAAATATTGTAGTGATGAACCAGACCTCATGGTATCACAACTCAGAAGGCAGTAAAATGGAAAATTAGACTCTGCAAGTGTTACATATCAAAATCTTTGTTGAATAACGGAATTCTGTGCTGGTCCTTCCCCACATTTATTTGTAACAACAGAAAAAGAAAACAGTACACAAAATGTAAGAAATTTTAGTTTTTTACATTTGTTATCCTGAAAAGACCAAAACATTTTAATAACTCAGTACTTACTTACTTACTTACTCATGGAGCTGAGCCCTTCTGGAGGAACCGCCAATTCTACAGTTCCTCAAGAATTTTATGGAACCTGAAGGTTCATTACCGTGTTCACAAGAGCCCTCCACTGGTTGCTATTCTTAGCCAGATCAATCCAATCCATATCATCCCATCCTATCTCTCTAAGATCCATTTTAATATTGTCCACCCACCTATGCCTTGGTCTTCCCAATAGTCTCTTTCCTTCTGGCTTTCCCACCAATATTCTATAGGCATTCATAGTCTCCCCCATTCGTGGTACATGCCCTACCCACCTCATCTTCATTGACTTGACCATTCTAATTATACTTGGAGAAGAATTCAAGTTATGAAGCTCCTCATTATGCAGTTTTCTCCAACTTCCTGTTACTTCATCTCGCTTCGGTCCAAATATTCTCCTCAACACCCTCAGTCTGTGTTCCTCCCTTATTGTCAGAGACCAAGTTTCATGCCCATACAAAACAACAANTACATACATTTATACAGAGTCTACAAAAACTACTACACATAAGTGTATCTAAATAAAACAAATATTCACCTGTATTCTATTTCCTTTCTTTTGACCACTCCAAGTATTCATTTATCGAATAAAATGATTGATTTAAGAGAAAATTATTTATAGCTAACTTAAATTTTTTATAATCACTCGATAATTTTCTTAAATAGGATTAGTAATAGGATAGTAATAGGATTAAATTGACTGGAGGTTAATTTGTGCAATTTTTTTTGTTTTTGGTTGTTTTTTGTTTTTGTTTTTTGTTTTTTTTTGTGTTTTTTTTTTCCAGATTTCTCAGAGGATGAGAATGTTCTGTGGTCATTAGAGTTGCCACCAGATGTGGTAGAGGATTCTGCAAGGGCTGATGTCAGTGTTGTTGGTGACCTGCTTGGTCCAACATTGCAGGTAAGAAGTGTCATGAGTCTGTGAAACCTTCATAGTAAATTATCTATATACAGTATATAGGAAATTTTTGGATGAAGTACAAAGCTGTTATCTGCCTGAATGTACAGCTAATGCATCCAAAGGGCCCTACTAACTGCCTCATTAATCATTTAGAAGCCTTTTCAACAGGACACCAGGACTTTGTGAGTATTGTAGCATGGCAGCTGAAAGGCCAAAATAATGGAGCCAGAAAAAATTGGCCAATGCTAGATAATGTCTCAGTGAGCATATATTGCAGCAACAGATATGCATGTGACAATGGAGGAGCTGTTAGAGGAGTTAGTTCAGTTGCCAGCTTGAGTTAGTTGTAGCTTATAGTTATGTGTGAAATGATAGCCAGCTGGAAATGTAAGCAAGGAAGCAGAAGAATACCTATTGTTGGAAGCCATTACCTGGTGACTACTGGTGAAGACATAAAAGCTGTGGTGTTTGGAGTAGTAATTTATAGAGTGTGTAGAGCCATAAAACTATTACTGTTACCTGTAGTTACAAGTTGTAAGTGTTTAATAAATCCAATTACCAATCAGATACCCATATCTAAGTCACTAACACATGACAATATGTAGTGCCATTGAAGAAGAGTAAATGTGCTTTTACTAAGTCCATGATGATTTTAACATATGAGTATGTTTGTCTGCTATGTAGTGATCCAGATAATATGTAGGAAGGAAAATGGGGTTGTTCTAGAAGATTATGACTTGTTACAGAACCTAGGTCATCTGGTCCGAATGCCAGTGGGGTGTGGAGAACAAAACATGATTCTGTTTGTTCCAAACCTTCATGTTATCAATTATCTGAATGCAACACAGCAAGAGAACTTGGTCCTCAAAGCTGAGGCTATCAAAAATATGGAGAAAGGTGAGTTATACATTTTATTTAACTAAACCAAGTTTCTGGTGATAGAACCTGAAGGTTCAGCAATGCATATACTTAAGCATGACCTTGAGCCAATTCTCTCTGCTTCCCATCTGAATATTCCATCTCAAGATTCAATATGAAGAAGATTGTTAATTGTCTGGGATATGATGCAATGCAGTTCAGTAGAATATCACCAAAATTTCAGAGGAATGTCCTGTGTCCATCTTCACGGTCAAAAAGGAAACAAAGCAAGTAACGAGCAAGAAACAGACAGAAAGCAAAGCTGTAACTCAGTATCATTTCTTTCACAAAGAAATCTGATGGTAATATTGTAACATTCTGTATAATGCTAGTGTTTAATTAAGAAATAATTGATGATCTAGAGTGATACATGTCTCCAGTGGTAAAGGCAGTTTAAGACTAGCCATCCAGCCACTGGGTTCTTCTCTCTACATTTCTGACAAAATCAAAAGTTAGTGGTTGTGGGAGTTCAAAGTCCACAGAGTAATTTGGTTGTAGTTTTTCCCACCTACCACTGTCATCTTTTGGTCTAAATAGAATCCCGCCTTATTACTTCTTCTGTATCAAGGGATTCATTCCTTCATCCACTCCAGGTGGTTGGAACCAAGAAAAGCCAAATATGACTCATACTGGATATCTAAGAGAGGAAATATATTTGCTTGTATAACGCATAAAGATATACTGGTTGGTGTGTGATAGGATACCAGCGAGAGCTGAACTATCGTCACACAGATGGCTCTTACTCAGCATTTGGTGACACGGATGCTGAAGGGTCGATGTGGCTCACTGCTTTTGTAGTGAAGTCATTTTCCCAGGCTCGGGGGTATATCTATGTGGATGAAGATGATCTCAAGGTCAGCATGCGATGGATCACCAAGAAGCAGCTGGAGAATGGATGTTTCCCCCTTGTTGGGAAAGTGTTTCACAAGGATATGAAGGTTAGACTCTTAACTTTCCATTACCACATCGCCACTCTCAATAAGTAACTCTTCTCTATATTAGATCAATGCATTTAGCTAATTAAGATTATACTTGAATTATTGAGTTCTTAGTAGCTGGGCTTAGCGACAAGTCTACAGGCTGGATGATCAAGGATTAGAGGTTTGATTCATGACTGCGAATAGATTATTTAAATCTCCAGAATATCCAGACTGGTTTTGTGGTCCACCCAGACTCGTACCCAAAGCTACTTTGGGGATAAAGTGGCCAAAACATGAACCTGACCATTCAGTGGCACCCTCCAGCATGAAGACAAATTTCCACTTTGTTTCGCCACACTGAGATGCATCTAGTTACATTTCTTTTATAACATAGCAGTGAAAGCATTTAGTAGTTTGCTAGTATCTGCTAGAGCAATGCTGTATTCTTATTGCAGTCATGGAACAAGTGTGGGTTAAAATTTCACAATTATTTTGACGATCCTGCCATGTCTACTTCTTGAAACATTATTTTTCAGATCTCAGAAGTATTGTATGAACCTAGTTACTGGTGAAAGTGCTGATTATCATTATTTCTTCAGTCTCCTTGTTAGTCCTACTTTATACCCAGTCAGTCAGGAAGTTTGGTTTTGCAGGGTGGGCTTACTGGAGAGACATCATCTGCCGCGCTGACAGCGTATGTACTCATCTCGCTGCTGGAAACAGGGCTCCCTCTGCCCCCCTCAGTTATCTCTAACTGCATGTTCTGTCTGAAAGGAGCAGCGGATCCTGACATCTATACACTGGTTCTTACTACATACGCCTTCACGTTGTTGGGAGAGAGAGAGATGGCAGAGGAGTCCCTTGAACGGCTGCTAAGCATGGCCACCAGGCAGCAGGACCTAAGTTGGTGGGAAAAGTCAGGTGCAGTTTCCACAGGTCTTAGCAACTAAATGTATACAGTGCAGTCACACTTGTTGCAAATTTGAAATAGTGCAATATAAAAAATGTTACTGAAATCAAACTTCATGTGCAGACTTTGAAACAACATGAATCCCAAAAAATTTGGCAAGAATCACACATGTGCTTCCAAACTTATCTTGAATTATGTGAGGTCTTTAGGAACTCATCCTCACATAAAATGTGACCGCACTATAAGAAAGTTTGTGTTTAAATTTAGAGAGAATTTAAAATGAAACTGGCTTGAGTTAAATTTTGGTAGTAGTATTTAATCCAGGAATATACAGTAGTTTAAAATACCATTTTTATACCTCTCAGGAATAGTTCACATATGCATTTGTGAGTTATTTAACGACACTTCAAGTAGCTAGATTATGTAGCATAAAAAACAGTTTAATATGCACCAAAAATCCATACATGTATTCCTCATTCGGTTTCATGTCTGAAAAAAAAAATATTTTACTGGTTATTTAACTACATAATCAGAAGCTAGTGATTAATTCATTTTTATCCTTTACAAATATAACCATTTTCCATTTAACTCTTTATGTAAATAAATATCACATATCAGGTTCTACCACGCCTTTTACATCATATGATATTTCACACAAGTAACTCAATGCACAGAAAGATCTTATACACATAAAATATTTATCTCTTTAAATTCTATAAACTTTACTTAAAGTGTTTTTTTATTGCGTGAATTTTTAACAAGTTAACCATACATTATTTATGCTGTGATTCATTAAAGTAGTTCAGAAGTATAAGCATATGTTTTTATGTTACTGAGGTTTTCAAATTTTGTTCCCACAGAACCGGGCCATAAGATGCAATTTTCTTTGCTCTGCAAGAGTGTCTTAGCATTCCACTTGTATTCTGTCTGCAGGTACATCATCCTTAGGCCTGAGTGTAGAGATGACGGCATATGCTGTTCTGTCTCTTGTGAAGCTTGGTGGGGAGGAGAACCTCATCAATGCCTTCCAAGCTGTGCGCTGGATCTCCAAACATAGAAATGCTGAGGGTGGCTTTGTCTCCACACAGGCACTGATCATACCATTTTATGATATTGTCCTCAGCCATTGCGTCGCATAAGTAAAATTAGGATTGAATTTTATCAATTGCGCAAGCATGCTTTCTTTTGGTAACAGAATATAGCCATTACATGCATATACCGTATTACTTTGAATATAAGACGCCCTCAAATTTAAGGTGTAGCCAGTTTTTGAACGTGGGTTTTAGGGAAAAAAATTATAAAGTTGAATATACCTTGAATTTAAGATGCACCTCAATTTTTCAAAAGAAAAAAAATGTGTAAATTTTGTGTCTTATATTAGAAGTGTATGGTAAGTAAAGTAAAGCTACCCCTATAACAGGCCGTGAAGGCCCATAGGGTTGTGAGACGTTGAGGGTCCCACATTATCTAGTCAATCGGCTCAAAGATGGTGGTAAGGTTGTCAGCCCTACACGCCGGCCGCGCTTTACTCCCCAGGAAAATTATTTTTAATCCAAGTGGTTGAGGCACTATGCTACAAGCTGGAAGGTTGCAGGTTCAAGTCCCGATGATGTCATTGGATTTTTTCAATTGACCCAATCCTTCCAGCCGCACTATGGCCCTGGGGTCGACTCAGCCTCTAACAGAAATGAGTACCAGAAGTATATGATATTATATAATTATTGTATTTGCAGATGATCTCCTTTGAAGGAACACAAGCAACACTGTGACTCACAACAAGACTAATCAATCCAAAATTTCTATTATTTTTAACAACACATATTTTAAATACTAGTCTTTTGACCCTAGTGTTTTTTGAAGTGTTCGTCTCCTTTGGATAATGGTCAACATTTGTCGAAACATGTAAAGACTCTGTTTTATTATTATCTTTTTTATTGCTAGTGGGGTGGGACTAAGTCCGTTGTACTGCGGCCACTTCTGGACTATTGTACCAGCCCCAGATGATAGGTGAGGGTGATTGTGGAGAAATTGGTGGAATGAAGATTGGCAGGGGAAAACGAAGTACTCAGAGAAAACCTGCTCCAGCGCCACTTTGTCCGCCACAAATCCCACTTGACCAGACCCGGGATCGAACCCGGGCCGCCGCGCTGGGAAGCCAGCTATGGCGCGATTTTATTATTAAAAAGCATTGTTGCACTTACTGGAATTCAGTCCCCAATTTTACTTATAAACTTATCTAAACATTTCTTGCACTTTTTCCATTTAATGCATTTTTCCATTCATCCACCTTCCTTTACCCACATTTCAGTAACTTAGCAGTACAGTGTCTGAAATACAGTTCACAAGATCTTTAATAGACAGAAGGTGGAACTTGACAGTAAAGGAGGAGGATACTGAGAGATGCTTGAAAATGAACATTTTTTGCAATTTCGTTTTCTCCTTTTAAATGATGCTCTGTTATTTGAAGATTGTACATAGTATCATTTTATGACCCTGGACGATCTGTGAACATCATTTCTGTATTTAGAAATAAATAAAAAAAAACAGTTCATTTAAAGGCCTAGTTAATTTACATCTGTAGAAGCCTGGTCCTTGGAAATCAGAGCTCAGTAAGGAATGTTGGGACAAACAGCTCTCATAAATATTGATTGGAAGTATTCTAGACAAAGTACTGAGATGTGCAATGTCGAACCGCATCTTGAACTATGTTTGACTGCTTATCACACTTTGTTTTCTCTATGAAAAATTCCTTGGTTTACAACTTGATAACCGCTTAAATGAAAAAAAAACCATATTGCTCAATTGATTCCTAAGTTAAGTAAAGCATGTTATACAATTAAATCCATATTATGTATCAGCAACACTGACACTCACAAATTAATTATATTTTCCTGTTTTAATTTTGTTATGAAGTATGGAATAATTTTTGGGCAGTAATTTGTCTACCAACAAAAAGATAGTCATGTTACAAGTGAAAACTGTTAGAATCATGGCAAGTATCAAACCTAGCAGTTCATGTACAGGTCTATTTAAGATATCAGAGATCTCACTCCTAATGTGTGAATACATATCTTCATTAATGAAGTTCATCGTAAATAACCAAGAACATTTTCAGACTAATTCAACTGCACACAGTATTAATACAAGGAACAAATGCCGTATTCACAGACCAGTTGACAGCTTTTCACATTTTCAGAAAGTGCATGATATGCTGGCATCAACATTTTCAGCAATATACTATCTTGTCTCAAAAGTCATATGAATGTAAAGTCACATGTTGAGTAAAGCTATTATTTCTTGACATATCCTCCACCAACATTGATACACCTGTCGCATAGCTTTATCAGTACGTCAAAACTCGCAGCATAGAAGACTGTTGTCTAAGCCACTTATCAACCTGGACGAGCATCATCTGCAACTTTCAAATGTCCTTGAGAGAATTTTTTGACCCAGTTGTGAACCAATTTACACAACAAACACTTCCCACCATAAACAGGAAACATTTCTTTATGAATATCCTTTTCATCCAGTTCTTTTTCCCACAGAAAAACGCACAACAGAACTCTGTTCTTCGGTTGTACACCCCTCAAGCACAATCACCATTTTGACTACTGAAACCAGCCTTCCGAATATGCAAATGTGCAGCTGCTACCTTGACTGTTACGAAGCTGGAATGTGCTGCTACCTAGTGATATGCATAGAAAACCTATTATATCCATTACAGATGTTTTACTTCCATTTGTGACCTATTTACCGCCACTCATATATATATAACATAAGTGGACAGTGTTGCTGTATATATACATATCTGTTTGAAGCACATGAACACCTCACATGAATCCACTGTGGATTTTATATTTTTTAGATGACAGCTTCAGTTGTACTTTACATAAATGTTTGTGTTTTTATGACTTATTCCACATGTATGTATGTATGCATGTATGTAAGTTTGTATACATATTTCATACAAGTTTATTCTCCCTTCTTTGCAGGACACAGTAGTAGCCTTGGAGGCACTAACAAAGTATGCCGTCATGTTACCACGCAGTGAGAATGGTGTCAGTGTTGTAGTAACTGCCACAGAGATGGAACATACATTCCACATCCATGAACATGAAAGACTGCTTCTCAAAAGACAACATCTGCCAGTACTGCCAACTCAAGTGGAAATGGATGCCATAGGAGAGGGCTGTGCTCTGGTGCAGGTTAGTTCAGTTCAGATAACAGTTTTGCTGGTAGAATTTCTTGTCATCATTGCCAGTCAAGATAACTGTCTTCTTGAATGTGATGCCGTGTATTCTGGATTGGTGTTTTGCAGGAAGTTACTGTCTCCAAGAGGCAGCAGGTTCCCCTGAAATATTGATAACTGTCTACCAGACTACGTAACATCACAACTCACAAGAGAGTAATCTTCGCAGTTACCACTGTGAAAACTACGTATCTTGTGTTATCATTGTCATCCATTGATATTTCTAGCAGGATGGGTCATCTTGTACATCGCTTTTCATTCTCACAAAAGAAAGTTTTCTTCATTCTTAAGCATTTGCCTCCATGATATTTCATTTAATACATTCCCAGTCTTACCCACAAAATTGAACTCTAATGATGCCCACATTTATACAGGATGGCCAGACTCAATTAGGCAGTTTTTGATCATTAATAACTAACCAATCAAACAACACACGGGATAATGGGAAAGTACCTTTTGTTGTCGATAGATGGAAGCATCATACGGTATGCTGTGAACGAGGTCAATACTCTGCCTACTTAGTGCGCATCGAGGAAACATCATGGCCAGTAGATGGTTGTCTAACGAGCAGCGTGTAAGATGTGTGCGCCTTTTCTCAGTTACTAACAATGTATCAGAAGTCCAGCGCAGGATGTTGGAAGAGTTTGGACTGCCAGCGGTCCATAGGGACACAATCGTCTGAATAAACAAGCACTTTGATGAAACTGCCAGTGCTTTGAATCCCAAGCATCCTGGTCAGCCAAGAACTGTCTGAACTGCTGACACACAAGCACGTGTTGCTGCGGAACGGGCATCATCTCCTCAGAAATCGAAGTCTACCTGCCATTTGTCGGCCCTACTGGACATTTCGAGGACAAGTTTGTGGAGAGTTTTGAGTGACATGAAACTGACGCCATACCATCCACGGCTTATTCATGTTCTTAACGAGGATGACTTCGACAGGCGACTTGAGTTTGCCGAGTTGATGCTGACCAAGTTTCAGGAGAACCCTGACCTTATCCAGAATATTGTCTGGACTGATGAGGCAAATTTCACACATCAGAATCGATCAACAGACACAATTGCGCGTTTTGGCGGCCAGAGAACCCCAGTGCCACCATTGAATACGATTTCCAGTCCCTGGGAGTGATGGTGTGGGGCAGCGTGATGTACGAAGGACTGATTGGCCCGTTCTTCCTTGAAGGTTGTGTCACGGGGGAAACCTACCTAAGTTGCTGAGGGAAAGTGTCATCCCAGAACTTCAGAGGAGAGAACTTTGATGAACTGTGGTGGCAGCAAGATGGGGCCCCACCACACTTCGCCAATATTGTTCAGGCGTTCTTGCATCAAGTTTTTCCTCAACACTGGATTGGCCATCCTGGCCAATTGGCCTGTGGAGTGGCCAGCCCAATCACCCGACATCACCCCACCAGACTTTTTCCTTTGGGGTTACCTCAAAGACACGGTGTACGCTAATCTCATTGACAGTGTGAAACATCTGCGTGAGGTGATTGTTCAGGAGTTCAATAAAGTTCCGGTGAATATGTGTAGAAAGGCGTGTGAAAATTTTGCTTTGCGTCTGAAAGCCTGTGTTGACTTAGGTGGTGCCCAGGTTGACCAGCATCTTGAAAATCGATTACTTATGTGTGTGCGATTCCATTTTTGTAACCATTGCAATTGTTAACATTTATCAATAAAAATAACATCTGATCAAAAACTGGCTAATTGAGTCTGGCCCACTCTGTATTACAGATAGAAATATTTTCGACCTCTGCACAAGGTAGAGTAGTTTGTTGAGGCACTATGCTACAAGTTGGAAGGTCATGTGGTCAATTCCCATCGAGGTCATTGGATTTCTCAGTTGACATAATGCTTCCAGCTACACTATGACCATGGGGTTGACCCAGCCCCTAACAGAAATGAGTACCAGGAATCTTCCTGGGGGTAAAGTGTGGGTGGTGTGTAAATCTGACAACCTCACCACCATCTGTGAGCTGATTGTCTAGAATATGTAAAGGCCTTGACATCTCACAACCCTATTGGCCTCCATGACCTGTTACAGGGATAGTATTCTTTTGCAATTTTCTTCCCTCCCTAGATGCTAAATTCCCCTCAGTTTTTGACCCCAGCAGACACTACATATTTTCTGGTATGTGCTTGCAAAAAGAAGAATATATTTCAGTCATTTTATTTCATTTTGAAGATGCCAGACCTCCTCTCACAAAATTTTATTCCCATGATTTATTTCACCGTCTTTTAGTGCATACACTTATCTACCTCACTCCTTTCTCCCGCACTACATGTTTCAGCACAAAAGTGCCATCTTCAGGTGCTTATTCGATTAACGTCAAACTAGTTGACTGCATGCCTTGTCTTCATATTAAAATAATTAAAATATATATTTATCATATATACCGACAAATATCAAATATTAAAAATATTAAAATTGTTCAGGATTTTTCCTACGTCGTATCTCACTTCTCGAGTCACCTCTAATCTCTTCTGTCAGAGCACTCTTTCTATTATCGTATGTGGATNGCATGCAGTGAACTAGTTTGACGTTAATCGAATAAGCACCTGAAGATGGCACTTTTGTGCCGAAACATGTAGTGCGGGAGAAAGGAGTGAGGTAGATAAGTGTATGCACTAAAAGACGGTGAAATAAATCATGGACTTAAATCAGTGCAACAGGACGCTAAAATATAACAAATTTTATTCTTTCACTTTTGGAAGTGAAATGCCATCTAAAGCGCTGACATTAAATTCTGTGGAATTTTTAATCAAAATATTAGTTTTTGATATGTTCAAGGTACTATATATATAGGAAGGAATGCATTTTTCAGAGGTGAAGTTGGAATTCTAATTTGTTAATATAATTACAATAGAAATGTCTGCAGTACTTTGGACATCTGTAAAGATGGATAGAATAAGGATGCTGAGAAAGTCATTAGAATTAAAATTTATAACAGAGAACTTTATGAAACAATCCAGAACAGAATGGTTTACCCAAGTTTTGGAAGGTATCAAGATGGAAGGAAAGAGTTTCCATAATGTCAAAAGGGAAAGAGAGGAAAGAGAGAGGAGATTGGAGACTTTTTGTGCATTGACACATATAAAATAGAAATTATGCTAGAAGAGAAAGATGGTATTTACAGTCAAAATCATCTACTATGGTGGAGCCAATAACTTTTGATGAATATATGGCTGGAAAATGTAATAGGTAGGTGAATCAAAATGAAATACATTTTTACTGCTGACTGCTCCTTATTTCTGGTTTAGACATCTCTCAGGTACAATGTGAGGAATGCATCAGGGAGTGATGCCTTTGACCTGGAGGTAAGGACTGGTCCTGTTGCATCTGTGGATGAATGCACCATGCAGAGAATAGAGGCCTGTGTCCGCTACAAGTTGCCAGATCAGACATCAAACATGGCTGTATTGGAGGTGTACATGGTGACCGGCTATGTTCCAGAGCAGGCTTCTCTTTACCAGCTGTTACATCAACAAGATATCAGTAAGTGTAAGAAATTGTGTGGAGTTTGACAAGGTTGCAGTTGAAAATTATCCTTCAAGTTTTAAGAGAGGAGGTCCAGATTTCTCTGTTATTAAATTTATTTCATAATCTCAGATTTGAGGCAAGAGTTCTAAAATTAGGGGTTTTAGTTTTGAAGTTTATTAAACTATGTTAGATTGTTGTGCCATAGCTCAAGCGGTTAGTCACTGGCTTCCCACTGCAGCGGCCCGGGTTTGATCCCGGATCTGGTCAAGTGAGATTTGTGGTTGACAAAGTGGCGCTGGGACAGGTTTTCTCTGGGTACTTCGGTTTCTCCTGCCAATCTTCATTCCACCAATTGCTCCACAATCACCCTCACGAATCATCTGGGGCTGGTACAATAGGCCAGAAGTGGCCTCAGTACAAGGGACTTAGTCCCACCCCACTAGCAATACAAAAGCTATGTTAGAAATAGATAAGCATCTAAGACGGATTAACTAAGTGGCAAATGAATTCTGCATAATCAGAAGTTCCGTGACTGTACTCCACTCCTGCTTATTTTTTCTTTCTTTCTTTCTTCCTTTCTTTCTTTCTTTCTTAGGTTCATTCCCCACCCCCTCACAGTGAATAATGTACTGATACATTTTCAATGTTGAGACTTTATAGCTTCAGGTTGTAAGATGATAGAAGAATTGGAACGGATCTGGAAGGAAGTTGTCATGGCCTAACCAAAGTACAAGCCTAGCATTTGCCTGGAGGAAAGAAAACCATGAAAATCGCAGTCAGGATAGCCGGCCTCCCAGTCAAGATTTGGACCAATCCCCTTCTGAACATAAGCTCATTTAGTTGCTAGGATGGTAACAGCAAAGAAGTTCTGATGGACTGGACTTGTGGGCAGAGATGAGAAATGCATACATAATTCCGGTATAGGAGCATCATAGAAAGTCATTCCATTATAGTTTTGTGATTGAACATATCATTGAGGGCCTTCATGTCTTATATCTTATATGTCATTTTATAATGAGCCATTTTTAATGAGTTGGTTAAGGTATGATCTGAGTTTCATATAGTGTATGGGTTATATTGGGTTAGTAGGAACCAGCCCCATTTGTGCAGTAGTCTCTTCAAAGGTCTTCCCTGATTTTGTGACCCATGTAGTTTTTATTTTTTTTTAATAATTTTGAAAATTTGCATTCTGTTGGAATGTTTAATCTAGTTGGTTGATATTTTAAATTTTGTTTAATTTAAGTTCTGTTTTTAATTCTTTAACAGCAGGGAATGGTAACCCTCAGTTACTGATTGATGCGCCCAAGACTACTGTGCAAACCTAACCTAACCTAACCCAACCTAACTCAACCTAACCTAATCTAACTTAACGTAATGTAACCTAATTTAACATAACCCAATATAACCTTACCTAGCCTAGTCTAGCCTCGCCTCGCCTCGCCTAAAGTTATGTGACGTCAAGTAACCTCAAGTCAAATCACGTCCAATCACGTCAAGTAACGCCAAATCACGTCAAGTCACCTCAAATCATGGCAAATCACGCCAAGTCACGCAAAGTCACGTCAAGTAACGTCAAGTCCAGTCAAATCACGTCACGTCACCTGACGTAACTTCACCTCACTTCACCTAACTTAACAGCACGGAATGGTACCCCTCAGTTACTGATTGATGCGCACACGTCTACAGCGCAAACCTAACCTAACCTTACCTAACCTAATCTAACCTAACCTAACC